TAGTTTATGTGTGTCTCTCGTCGGATGGTAAACTAGAAGTTGATTCTTAATAGGTCGTGGGGTGAGGAAAAAGAAACCCGACGACCAATACATGTAAACTAGATGTCGGATGAGGTGAACGAAATCACGGCATGGCGGGTGGCTGAAATGACGGGGATTTTTGGAGTCCCCCCCACCATTGTTCGCCTACACCACTTACTCACTGTAGTAAGATTACCATCCGATTAAAGTCTAGAGATTCTATTCCCCATTCGAATTCAAATCATTCGGTTTCTTACTCGACAGAGGGTATCGGGTCCCCGCAGGTCGAGTCAGGGATTCCATCATTATCTCGTCTCAAAGGGAGTGCGGATGCGGGCAACTCGATCGAAATGTCCAGGACCCTTTGTTCCAGGTCGCACCAAGCCCGACCGAGCACTGAACAGGGCCATGGGACGAGACGGGACAGGGCACAATCTCGCAAGAAGTTGACTTTAGGGTTGTACTTCGTATCTCTCGAGACACTAAACCTGGTATGTGGGTTTTTGTTAGGGATAAGCAGGAACGGAAAAGAAAGAGAAGCCTGGAGATTCGGACTTGCAGAGTCTGAGGACTCCACCCAGGAACGAGCGGTTACAATTGTGCTAGTATGCCAGTAGCTCTGGGCTGGCCTGGGCTGGCCAAGTCAGCAAAATGCGGGTACTTCATGGTTCCTACGTCCTGCTCGTCGCCCAAAGAAGGCGGGCAAGCTCGCACTAACGCCGTCTGGTGATTGACAGAAGGACCGTCCCGAATGTTCAGAGTGTATTGATATTGGCAAAGGAGTATTTGCGCCTGATCCGATCCGATCCCCGCCTCCTCCTCTCCCGCTCTCTCCCACTCTCGCAACAGGATTTGATGGATGAGGAGAAAGACAGGCGGATGATCCATGAAATTATGGTTGGGTTAACATAGCCACCAAGAACCACCACCAGTGATGAGGGGTGTAACATTGCATCGATGGTTCGGTTCAAGGGCAAAAAGTCCCACACATCGATACTGGAATGGCGACTCGCATATACAAGCATACGACAGAGAGTGGGGTACTTGGCGACTTGCAAAAGAACCTGAACGGAAACACGCTATCAAACTGGGGTAAGAGCACAGAGGAACATCATTGATCGATTCTGGTCAATTGAAGCTACGAAGTAATATTACACTGCGACGCGCTCGCCTTGCCAAGCCCGTCCAGTCTATCGCTGTTCAAGGTCAAGGAGAGATACTGGTGCGAGACCCATTTCCCATTTACAAAGCACCCGAGAAGAAGACGGTACTTTCTCTTGCATACTGTAAACGCTGAGGGCATAAGTACCGACGGCGAGGAAGGTACCTCACAGGCACTAACAAGTCAGGGCGTTGCAAAGTGCTCTCGGGCAGTCTAACCTGGCGCAGTACCACCCCGAAGAGAAGGCCCGGCGCAGTGGATAGCCAGGCCAGGGTTTGGTATCATTGATCCATCATTAATGGATCCATCAATTAATCAATCAATCCACTCGAAAGGCGGCAGACGGTACTCTGGAGAGACGGGCAGCACACGAGCTGTTACCAAGATGGAAAACTGTCGTTGGCGTTCAGCCAAAACGTGCAACATCGATGATCAATCGAGTAATGGATCGCCGTCAGAACAATGAAGGAGCAGACCTCGACAGCATTGACGCCTGCTTGACAAATGGAGGGGATAGAGGATGAGAGTGCATCTCTGGCCTGGCCTGGTCGGGCTGGAGCGGATAGAGCCGGGTCAAGATCAATTGGGCCGAGCTGGTCATTGCTCTTTGGAGGACATTTTTCACCAGTTTCTCGGGTGTACTTCGTAGACATCGACAAGTTGCACTACAAAACAGTTGAGGCTCGTCTTCCCCAAACTCAATTTCTGCCCAATTTACTCCTTCTAGATTGGACTGTCTCGAAGGGTGGCGGAACAAACGTAGAGGTGGCGTTGAAAGATTTATAAGAAGTAAAGGTCATGGTGGCTTATTAGTTTGCGAATAGAGCGACGACTGGAGTATTACCGCAGAGGTGCCTCGAAAACGGAGCCAGCGATGCACATGCTGGCTCTTCAGATTTGATGCATCGCGCTTTCCAGTATTCCCTCTTCTCTCTGTCCATTGTTCGTAGTCTCTTTCGTCCGCATTGGCCCTTTCCTTTTCCGCAACGCCCAGCGCCTTGCCCTTGCCCTGGCCGATAGGGTACCCCGTCCGTACTTGCCCCGTCCTTGCCCGTACCTGTGGACACGTACGAAGGAGCGATGTGCTTCTTTGTAACGAAGAAAAGAACAGACTTCAGTGATAGGCTTCAATGTCTCGAGGGCCGGGCGGCAGCCCTCGCATCTGCGCCAATACATGATTGCGCTGAGGTACCGATCGATCCCTTGCCTTAACGTGGCAGGAGCTACACTAGTTTGAGCAGTTTGAGGATTTGAATGGCTTGCCCAGCTGACGATGGCTGGGCGTAAGAGTTAAAGTTTAGAGGTGTGCTTCGAAGGTCCTTCTAGAATGTGTGTGCCTTGTACGAAATACGTTACGACGAAGTACGAACAAGCCAACTCCAGGCGTGTGCTCTTCATGCTTTCCGTCCAGTGGTGACCCTGACCAGGCCGCCCTTGCCCTGTGGTCTCACACTGGTGAGTGTAACTCCGTACCAAACCATCTTGGCGCGCCACATTCTGTAGGTCGAGGAATTAGCCTTTGGGCACAGTTGAGGTGTTGTTAGCCAGGCCCGGTGATGAGATTAGTGCCCTCCTAGGAGGAAAGTACGAAGTACACTCCAGTAATACAAAGCGACATTGGCAGCCGTACAAGTGTATCTCCAGAACTCTTCAACTCTGTGCTGTGACGTTAAAATCTTGGGTTACCCCAAGTCGAGTACCTCGAGGTGTACGAAGTACATCGAACGGGCTGCACCAATTGCTGCATTTGATGTTCCTCGCTGCAAGAGAACATGACATGGGGCAGGCATGAGCCGGCGAAGTATCTTTGTACACTATTCCGAGCAGAGAAAAGAGAAAGACATTAAACACACAGACGTTGGAACATTGGAACCTTTTTTTGCCCCTCCCCTGCTGAAAGTTGCCTCTGCGCGCCTCCGCCTCTAGCTTCTCCCAGTCGACTCTGCACCTTTCTAATTGCTGTTCCCTCCTCCGTCATCCTTAATAGAACCATCTCCGTCCCAGCACACGCCACCGAGGAAATCCAGCTGTACCCTCGGCAAACCATCTCTCTCCAAGTAACGGACGGAGAAAGATTGCTTCATACGCTCTGGCCTTTCCATCGGCAGGACAGAAAACTTCGGGGAACAACACCGTTCCTGGTTCAAGCCCCAACGGCCGTCTACCAAGTACCTTGGCTTGGCCAGGAGTATCTCCTTAGGAAGTACACCTACTCACCAAGCTGCCCTATCTTATTTCCGACCAGTCAGTTAGGCGTTAGTCTTGCAAGCAAGTGCGAAATCTTACTGCGTTCGAAAGAAAGAAACGGTTTGATGCTCTTCCATCTCTTGGCAAGGTACATCTGATCCGCTTCTATGTCGAGTGCTGGAAGCAGTAAAGCAGGAGAGGCCTGGCCTTATTTCCCGCCCCCCTCACCTCGACTGGATCAAACGCCTACGCCTTCTGTATGCCTCATAGGCTCATGGGCTCTGCCTCAAATAATCAGGCGAGTAGAGCAAATGTTGGAAACACTCGTGCATTGGGGTAAACCCTCGTGAGTAGCATCACCACCCAATGCACTCGTTCTTTTTGTCGTTTGCGGTTTAACCCCAATATCTATCGGCACTTCTGTCTACCAGGATCGGGGGCAAAGTGCTGGGACATTGTCTGTGTCGGGTTGCCTGCCCTGCACCATCCACCATTCTTGCGCCCATGACAATGCCAGAACAGCTGGCGAAGCCCTTCCTCCGCTTTGAAGTATGAAGCGGTAGAGGTAGTACATTACTATATTTCGTACAGAGCAGAGGACCCTAGCCTTCTCTTGCTTCTCTTACTCGCCGGACAAGTGCCAAGCATCATTTCGACCTGAGATCCCAGGGATCATATCGACAAGTACACTGCAGCCCCGTCATGTCGAAAGGAGTTAGGAAGATGAAAAAGAAGAAAGGAACGAGGAAAAACAAGAAAAAAAAAATAGGGACAAAAAAAAAAAAAAAAAAAAAAAAAAAGAGAGAGAGACCAATACCCTGGACCCTGGCCTGGTCTCCTCCCAGGTCTGGTCTGGTCTGGTCTGGTCTAGCTTTTTTCTCCTCCCACACCCTCTCGTCGAGATATTCGTCTCTCCCGCCCACCGACACACCCCCTCCATTACCTCAACTTCACACGCCCACACCACACACCCTTTAATCCCTAGCCGGACAGTTCCTCTCCAACCTTGCCATCGTACTCGATGTAGTACACCCCCACCCATCCCCCTAGTCGTCCACAAGATCCAGGATTCCTGCTACTAGTCGTATTCCGGTAGTGTCGACTCCTCTCTACTAATGAAGGGGAGTTACATGAAAGGTCTGTAGGAGTATGGGGACGCTGTCGGTTGCTGATTGCTGATTGCCTGTTGAGCTTCGGTCCTACAAAATAGCAACGCTTCCTTAGCACTTCGCATCAGAAAAGAACATAAGAAACAAGGTTCCCCTTCTTCTTTGGGCCTCGTCGATAGTTACAATTCTTACATCTTGAGCTTGCTGATCAGAGTTGCTTCCCCATCCCGATCTAGATCCCAATCTTGGTCAACCTACCTCCTTAGTCTTTACACTTTACATACATACATACATACATCTTTCTATAACAAGCGATTCCCCGTATGAAGCGTTGTGATCGACCTCGACTACGTACATTTTCCCCCATGGCACGGTTTCTTTTATGACATTTTCGTTTCCCGTCTTGACGCCTAGCTTTATATATATAACTTCGTTTGCTCCAGCAACTTCACTTCTCAATCATCTTTTAAAGAACTTTTCTACGCCTTGTTCCACTACCGCTCCCTTTCTGTCTCGACACCATGACCGTCCCCATGGCTCAACAACAACAACCCCCATCCAAGGATGCCGCCGTTGCCCGGAAGAGGAGAAGACGCGCTGCCGCTGGTGGTGCCGCTGATGACTGCTTCTCGTGCTCTAAGAAGAACCTCAAGTGTGACCGGAGCCGCCCTTACTGCTCCCAATGCCTAGAGGTCGGCCAGGAGTGCTCCGGATACAAGACCCAGTTGACCTGGGGTGTCGGCGTCGCAAGCCGTGGAAAGCTGAGAGGGCTGTCTCTGCCCATTGCCAAGTCGCCGCCGGTCAGTGGTGGAACTCAAAAGAAGTCTCCTCAGAGATCTCGATCGAGCTCCGCCGCAACGGGTCCGCAGTGGACCGGACAGATATCAACCTCCCCAAGGCGGATCACCAGTCACGCCGAGCACGGAATCACGGCCTCACCCACCGAACGCCATGCTTCCGTATCGCCGCCTCCAGCCTCCCTATACAACTGCGGGTATCTGGCTGTGTCGACTCCGTCGGACAGCAATCTCAGTTCGTCTTCCCCAGCGATCCAAGGCCATTGGGACAATCTGCAGTTCGCGAGTGCCATGTCGATCCCCGAGGGCGCCGAGTACAGGAAGCTGAGCCCTCATCATCATCTTGCACCTCACGCCATTACCCCCGACCCGCGCCTTTCCCCTTCCCTCGACTCGACGAGCGACGGCTACCTCTCGCCCATGGCACACTCCTTCCCTCGCGTCGATGATATCCCTTACATCCACAGCCCTACCCTCATGTATGACAGCTGCACAACCCAAAACTCTCCCGTCGCCCGAAGCCCGCTCCCCATTGTCATGATGGACCAGCACCACCAACAACACCAGCATCAGCAGCCACAGCCACCTCCCACGTCTTGCCCCAGCCTCGTCTACGCCTCTTCAGATCATTCCTCTAGCTATCCGTCACACGCAGATTCTTTCGAGACTCAGCTGAGCCAGAGACTCATGCGCGAGTGTGACAACCTGAGTAAGGCGAACCTGCTTTCCGATTTGGGGCCAACATGCCATTTCCAAAGTCTGAGCAGCAACGACCCTAACACGATGGCGTTTCAGGCGTACCCGAACTCGACACCCTCAGCACAAGCTGCGGCTCGACAGGCCCCGTATGGCCATCACCGTCAGATCAAGACATCATCTCGCCGCGATCCAATGGGGACTGGGACTCTACCAGTAGCCAATGGCCAACCGTATACGAACCATGCAATGTACATGTGAGCTCCGAGCTCATCGCCAAGATGCCTTTCTTCATGGATTATTACAAGAACACCATGGCTCCATCCATGGTCTTTATCGACAGCCCCCAGAATCCCTACCGAGATCACATCCTGCGACTCGCCGTCTCGAGCCAGAGCCTTCAGCACGCCATCTGCGCCCTCTCGGCCTGCAATCTTCGCATGAAACGACGTCTTAGCCTAGGACAGGGGACGCGGGAGTTGTCGGAAAAACTCATGGCTGAAAAGGCCGTTGGAGAAGGCATTGGCGGCTCTACCGACCAGGCGCTGACGGAGGAGCATCAACATCGAAACTTGGCCGTCAACCTATTGAATCAACAACTTAACGACCCGGCGAAAGCCACCCACGACTCCGTCCTGGCGACGATATTATTACTGTGTCACTACCGAATGGCCGAATCAGGGATTGCCAGATTCCACACTCAGTTTGCTGGTGTCAAGAAGATATTAGCCATGAGGCAAGCTCAGCACGTCGCGCCTTCTGGTGAGACGGCATGGATGGAGGCCATCTTCACTTACTTTGATGCCATTTCCGCTAGTATCAACGACAGAGAAACGCAGCTTGGCGGAAGTATGTACAGCAGGTTTCACGACATTCCCTTGCTCCCTGCGGGGGCGGAAAACCTTGTCGGTTGCGAACGGGGGCTTTTCAAGACGATCAGCAGGCTGGCCCGGCTCAACCTGCTTTCACAGAACAGACTCATCCAGACTCAACAGCACAACGAAGGCCAGAGGCAACAGCCCGTCTCACCATTCATGTCCGGCAACACTATGAATGTGTTCGGATACAACCACAGCTCGAGCAGTGCTCGGAGCTCACCCACCGACGCGCAACCACACTCGCCCTTCTCGTTGCCGCTTGGCCACTCTTATAAGAGCAACCTTAGAAAGGTACACGCTCGGCAACTCATGGAAGCGTACGGTTCCTCCTCCTCTTCTTCTTCCTCGCATCGATTCGACAGCAACGGCAACTTCGATTCTTCTAGCCTTGAGGATGAAGAGTTATTGAATACGTTAGTTACCTCGCCGAGCAGCTTCGACGACAACCGTGCCAGCTTCTGGCAGGAATGGAAGGAAGTCAGGCAGGCGCTCCAATCCTGGGAATTCGACGCCATGCAGCTCCAGGCGATGCTCCCGAGCGAGACGATGCCCGCGCAACTACGTGACCTCGGCTGCCTATCTGAAGCCTTCCGCTACGCAGCCCTCCTCTATACAGAGAGGCTTGCCAATCCAACCTCGCCGAGCTCGAGCGCCAACTTCCAGAACCTCGTTAGCCAGGTCGTCTACTACGCCACCAGTCTCGACGTGGGTAGCCCCGCGGAGAAGTTCCTCCTCTGGCCGCTCTTCGTGGCCGGGTCCGAGTGTGTCAACGATCTTCAGCGAAATATTGTGCGGGCCAAGTGCCGTGACATCATGGGCCGGTCGGGATACATGAACAACCTGGCAGCTTTAGAGATTCTAGAGACTTTGTGGGCGGAGGATGCGGGTGGCGATAAGAAGAACGGGGATGCGGGGAAGATGGGTGCGTTTAACTGGACGAAGTGTATCGGTGGTCGGGGAGGTGAAGTTGAATGGATCATGTTTTAGAGCGCTGGTTTGTTTTCTTGCCTTTTCTTGTTTTTGTTCCTTTTGCCCTCCCGTGGCATCTTTCCTGTTTCCTCTGCATCTTCTCACGTTTCCCCTTTCCGTCTTCGTCTCGTGGGTGATTTTCCTTTTGCTTTTCGGCTTTTGTCTATCTCCTGGTGGCCTAGCGATTTACGCCGTTTGTTTACTTCGTAAGGGGGTGTACGGGTCGATTTTTTGTTTTTTCCTTCTTTTTCCTGTTTTGCTCGATCTCACTGTTTCTCCATGTAACTCTTGATGATGGGACTGGGCGGGAAAAAAAGTATGGGACTCTATGTGGGCATGGTTTTCTTTCTTCTTTTGCCTCTGGATTTAGGAACGACACACACACACACACATCTGTACTATTAGCACATGCAATGATGGGGAATACCCGCACGACTTGGGTTGGAATTCTGTCGCTATCTCGCTATCTCTATTTCTCTTTCTTGGTGTTTTCCGGCCTGGATATGAAGGGAATCAATAATATGGGGTGATGATGAACCATGAACATGCTTTGCTCCTGAAATGCAATGGGTATCTCGTGACGATGTTAATAGCGGCTGTGGCTAAGGGAAAGAAAAGTTTGGTAGGTCGGGGTATCACGGCATTTGCCAAGGGAGGAGGCTAGAGAGCCGTTTCTAAGTATAGATGAGGAGGATGGGTGTGAGTACTAAGGTAGCATTGTCGCTGTATGTGCGAAGGACCGGCAGGCGAGAATTGGCGACGTGGTAAGGCATATATTGAGAGGGTAAGGGTGTTCGCTGAAGGGAGAAACCCGGTTCGTGGGAGGGTGATGCCGGTAGCGGCTCGGTAAGTGTCTCCATCTTTTTTTGGCGAGAGATGAAAAGGGGAGGTGGGAGTGAAAAGGAGGGTGTGTGCAGTAGATTTTGAGGTCCGAGAGGGCGCCGCAACACACCTTGTATCAAGGGGAGGTGGTGGTCGAGGATGAAGTCGATATTAAGTTTCGGCCATTCCGTGATTTCTAAGTTTAGAACATTCGTGGGGGGCAGCATAGCCCTATTCCCCATGGAGAATGTATGGCGCGAGGTTGAGGATGATGTTGGCCTGATGGAAGGAGGGCAGATATGTAGCAATTATGTAGGACCCCGCAGATGAGCTTCCCTCTCGGCGATATCATTCCCCCGGCGCCAGCATAACGTCTAGGCAACGCATAATATGCCGGCAGATGGCCATTTTCCTTCTCCCACATGGATGGCTTAGCGGAAGACGTCTCTGGAACCGATCCGATGGAGGGTGTCATTCGAACAGGGCTCGTCTATTTCTTCCGGGGCTTCTAGAAGGGCTGCCGAAGGTTTCTGTTGGTCGTCCGGGAAGAAGGGGGAGAAAACAAGAATAGTGCCGTCTCGAAGAAGAAGGTTGTATTGCTCGGGCAATATCTGCCCCGGCCGTGTCCACATCGCAAGCCTCCGCTCGCTAAACTCTCCTCCGGACCACTCGATCCCATCCAGCACGCCCCAGCAGGACCTCTCCCCCTCAAGCCTGTTCCTCCACACTCTCCTTCTCTCCACTCCCGCTCTCCCCCGTCAACGCCCTCCAGAAAACGCCCTCCCTCACCCAGGGCCAAACCCCCCTCCAGACCCCCCACGCCCCAACCCCCACAACACTCCCCACCCCAAACCCCCCCACAACCCTCAAAGCCCCAACGGACCTTTCCCACGGCAAAAGCAGCACCGCCGCAATCCCGTACCCGTACACACATCGATCCAGCTCCCTCTTTCGCCTATCACCTAGAACTTCCCACGCCCAGCGCTGCTTCTCCTCGCGCGACAAGGTCCAGAGATAGGCTTCCTGGAGCGCCAGCGACGCGGGGAGGGAATAGGTCACGTACCGGCCCGTGAGGAGGAGCGTCGCTGAGAGGGTGAGAGGGGGGAGGGTCTTTGCGAGGGAAGGGTTGAGGCGACGGAGGAGCAGGCGCGAGAGGGGGAGGAGGGAGGAGGTGATGAGGGAGGCTAGGGGGAGGACGCGGAGTTGGAGGTGGGTTGTTAGGATTGCGTGGGGATGGGTTTGGAGGGAAGGGATTGGGGCGTGTTGTTTGTTGTGGTAGAAGATGTCTGTCATCGTGAGGGTTGAGGGGAGGAGGTGTTGTCGTGTTGAAGAGGCTGTTCAGAGGGAGTTGAGGCTCGGTGAGTGGCTTTGAGGCTTGAAGATTTTTGAGATGAGGTGGCTGAGGTAGGAAATATGAAGTATTTTAAGAAAAAAATTCATCTAATTATTTAACTAGCAAATATTTTACTGCTTTATTCACGAAATTCTCTAAATATAATTGCTTCCAAATTTTCTAAATTAATTAAATAATTGTTCCTGAAATTTAAAAACATAACAAGGGGAGTAAAAAATTTGTCCCTCGAGCATTTATTGCTGTCTGCCTCAGGTCAAGTCGGTGCCGGGCTCCGTTGGCGCACCAAGAAACACGGCACGACACACCCGGAAAGCGCCCCGGGACGTTGGGTCAGGCAATGCTTTCCCACCTTCTGCATCTCTGTCCCTCGTTCGGTTCCTTCGCCTTCAGTGACCCGGACACCCGCTAAGACCGTGGTCTCGCGTCTCGATTTACAGACCGGGGAAGGGGGGACATAGACAAGATGGGCGGCTTCTGAGCCGGCAAAAAATCAATTGCTGATAAGAGTGGGATTCGAACCCACGCCCAGTTACCTGGACCAGGAATTACTAGTTCAGGTTAACCTGAACCTGGCGCCTTAGACCACTCGGCCATCTTACCGGCTGTTGTTATTGGCGAGCAGTTTTGATTTTCGACTGATACATAGCCCTCTGCTTTCCATTGATTCGAAAGAAGAGTTGTTAATTGTCCTGGGTTTTAAATGTGCGGTGAACTGGAGCAGATCGTGGTTTGGGATTAGTTCTTCGATGACAACTTAACTCGGCCCGCCCCGACTACGAAGTAGGCTGTATCCTCGAAGAGTTTTCCAAGCTGACTCTGCGTGGCCAGGAACAATTCCATCCCTTCGGGTTACCTGACCCCAGCTCATCGAAGAGCTCGACGGAGGAGGTGGGATATTGATCCGTTGGTAGTGGGAATAAATCATAGGACATGAAGAACTCCGGGAAGCTATCAGCTGGCGATGTTCTTCGTTGTTCTTCGTTGGATGCGTAGCTCCCTCCGTGTCCCGGTATTAGGGCCAGGAAGAAAGCAGAAGAGCATTGGCGGCAAGCTCGGTAGGCTATTATTCTCAGTTCAGGAAACAGCTTCCTGCTTCATTCTGTTCTATCATTATCTACTGACGTCCTCGGCTGGGAGTGTAAACGGGAAAGGCGAGTAAAGAGAAGTAAACGGGTTCTGGTTCTAATGGGGGAAACGTCTTCTGTGAGTCCTGTCCGATACCGAGGCTCAGGAATTGAGAGAAAGACAAGCATATGTACAGAGAGAGAAAGTCTGTTTATCCTTTAATGCACTACCTCTTCCATGATACCATTCAAGCTGAAGGAATGCTCCATAATGCAAATTATCCCATCCATACCCATATAAAACTCCCATCCCATCCATGCCAAACGAAAAAAAAAGAACTCCTTCTATACACAGCATACTCCCACAGTTCTGTCCATCTACTCATCATCAGTCATCTCCATCATCGACGCCTCCCTCTCCTCCAACTCATCCACCTCCACAAACGATTCATGAACCAATATCCCCTCCCCCACCGCCCTACTCTTCCCCTTTCCGCCCGCACCACCACTTCTACTTCCACCAGCACGCGCACCCCCCGACGCTACTGCCCTCAACCGCTCACTTGCCCTCCCCTTCCTCTGCGCCAACTCCTGCTCAAACACCCCCAAATCCTCCGCAACCTCCTCCCTCGCCGCATCCAGCGCCGCCGTCTCATCGAGAGCCTTATTCAACAACTCGGTAGCTATGCCATCCTGCGGATGAATAGCCAGCGCCTCGTGCAGCGCACCCACGGCCTCCTCCGGCCTCCCCTGCTCGAGGTACACGAGCCCTTTCGCCGAGAACACGGCGGCGTCCTTGCCGCCCAGGCGGAGAACCTCGTCGAACTCGGCCAGCGCGCGGTTGAAGAAACCCAGACGGCGGTACGCGTGGGCGAGGTTCGTGCGGGCCGCGAGCCACGCCGAGGGTTCGCTGTTGATTTCTTCGGCGACTTTAAGGGCGCGCTCGAACCAGACTACGGCTTCCTTGGGGCGGTCTTGGTGGTATTTCACCACGCCCATTTCGTTAAGGAGGAGGGGGTCGGTCTTGCAGAGGCCGTAGGCCGTCTTGAGGAATTCTTCGGCGAGCGTCATGTTGTTGAGCGCGTGGTTCTGCATGCCTAGGAAGACTTGGGGCAGGTGCGTGCCCATGAAGAGACGCGCGGCCGTCGAGTAGGCGGGGATGGCTTGGTCGTGCTCGCCCTCAGCCGCGAAGGTATGCGCGAAGCCGATCCATGCCGGTCCAAAGTGCACGTCCATGGTGCTAGCCTTGCTAAAGTATCGGCGGGCCTCGGCGATCTTGTCGATGGCGAAGTAGTAAATGCCCACGGCGAGCCAGGTGCAGGGCTCCTCGGGATGCGTGTCGGCGAGGTCGTGGGCAATGAGGAAGAGCACATTTTTCATTTTGAGCTCGTACAGACACGCGAGGTGGAGCGGGTAGGCGGAGAAGTTGTATTTGTCATTTTTGAGGATCGACTCGGTGATTTCGAGAGCGTCGCGGTACCGACATTGCGTAAAAAGCAGATCCGCGCGTGCGAGGAGGAGATCGGGGTTGGAGGCGAGGCGGTAATGCGTAGAGAGCGACTCGTAGGCCGTCGTAAACTCGGCGGGATTGCGGTACTTGGACAGTCTCGTCGTGTACAGCATCTTGGTAAACTCGGCCGCTTCCTGCGACGACGACACGTCGCCGGGGGCCCTTATGGAGTCAAAGTCGAGCGTCTCGAGGAATTGCCACTCCTCGTCCGGCGACATGAGAGAGTTTTGCATCAGCTGCTGAAAGGCCTCGAAGCACTGCACGTCGATAGACACGGCGTCCTTGTAACACTCCTTGGCGCGATCAAAGGCATTCTGCTTCGCATAGCACACTCCACGCAAGTAGCACATGGCCGCCTCGTAGCGCCTGTTGGCAGCTTCTTCGTCGGATACGGATACAGATACGGAAACGGATACGTTGTGCGGCCGCCGCCCACCGTCGTGGACCTGCAGGTGGTGGGCTGCTCGGTCTTTAGCGCTCGTGGCATTCTTTCCGTGGTTCGAGGCCGAAGCCGCTCGGGTATGCGCGCTCGGGTTCGCCATCTTGCGCTTATTACTGGCATTGTTGATTAGGTGGGTTGGGTTGCGCTCGCCGAGCACCTCGAGGGCTTCGGTGAAGCGATTCTGCTTGATGAGGCAGTGGCCGGCGAGGTAGCGGCATGACGGGTTTCGGGCGATGAGATCTTGTTTCGAGAGGAATGTTTGCGCTCGCGTGTAGTTGCCCGTAGCAAAGTGCACCTGGGCGAGCCAGAAAGCATCGTTATCATCACCTAAGTTGGGGTGCGCTCGGTTAGGTTGACTCCGTCCTTTTTTGGGGGGAACCTAGAGGGTCGCAGATTGTTTCGTACCTGTCAAGGCGAGTAACTTATCGCCAATAAAGATGGCAGATTCATATTGGGCTTTATTTAGTGCATCTTGCCTCCATTCTCGGAGGTACTGTTCCATTTCGATGTCGGCCCTGCTGTGCCAAAAGGTGGTTGAATGGGTGCTGCCCGAGCTTCGGATTCGATGTTAATGTGTGTCCAGGGCGGGTATTATCGCAGGTTTTCTAGTACCATGTTGTACTTGGCGATGTTAATCAAACTCGGTGATCGTGGTGAGTGGTGGATAAAGAAAAAAAAAAAAAAAAAAACACCGTCTTTACGTTCAAGAAGGGCTCAGGTTCAAGCTGTGCAAGAACATTTGAAGCTCGCCGCGTTTCTTTGGTTCGCAGCGCGTTTTACTTGGGATTGTTTGGTGGGGGAAGGCGCCTGGCTCCACAGCAACTGGCACTTAAATCCAGCGTCACGTGCCTCATGATGGCTTCAACTGGAACCGACGATTTGGACGGTTGGATCTACAATGCCCAAGAATATTAGCTCTTAAATTGAAATTACTTCCGATATGGCATCTCTGTTTGATGGCCCTCTGCGTCTCGTCCAGACATAGGCTGTCAAATGCTCTTCAGGCCGACTCCACGCGCAATAACGGAATGGCTCGGTAGAACAAGGCACCTCCAAGAACGAATGCCGCCCAGCCTGGCTCAGGGATAGCTATCCGATGTCGATGAAATGGAAAAAGGCAAGAGGCAAATGCCGTGGATCAAAGAGCCAAGGACGGCTGGGTAAAAGATGGGATCTAGACGCCCAAATGGGATGAGCTGCTGGGCCTCTAAGATGGAGACACGACCCGACTAACCAACGAGAGAAGGATTGAATCGCCCCAGCCAACTTTCGACCCCAGTCAGACTTAAAAGAAAATTGGGTTGTTGATGGATATCGTGGATATTGGACTCTGGAATTAGATGTTATATGAAAATGCTAACCCTACGTCCCTGCTCTACTCTTCCTCCTGCCGCCGCGCTCCCTGGTTCGCTCCCCTCTCAAAGTTCCTAAACTCATTCTCCACCGTCTTGCTAAGACCGGTCGCCTTGATGCTTATCATGGCTGCTTGGAAGTGCCGTAGCCTCAGCACCCTTTTGGCTGAATCTTCATCTTGCTCACTAACGCATTCCGTCGCCGCCGTCACGCACATATTCTTGAGGTCAGACCCAGTATACCGCGTCGTCATCTTCGCGAGCCTATCGATGGAGACGTCGGGGCCGAGCGTTTCATCCTTAAGGAGCAGATTCAAAATCCCAAAACGCTGGGCTGTGGTCGGGATATCGAGATGGATGCGCACGGGTGCCCGTCGGAGAACGGCCGGATCGAGATCAAACGGCCTATTCGTCGCCAGCAGGATGAATGGCGAGTTCTTCCCGCTATTCAATCCATCCCATTCCATAAGGAACTGATTTAGCATAGCGCGAATGTGCCTCTTCTCGCCGGCCTTACGAGAGCCAAGCAGGCCATCCGCCTCGTCGATGAAGACGATGGCAGGGTGGAGTTTTCGCCCCATTGAAAAGAGCGCCTTGATGACCTTTTCATCGTCGCCATGACATTTTTGCCACAGCTCGGCTGTCGAGGCTAGGATCATGTTGAAGCCGGATTTGCGGGCAAGGCCCTTGGCGAGGAGACTCTTGCCTGTTCCGGGGGGTCCGTATAGGACTGCTCCTGTGACTTTGTTCCCGGCGAGAACGCCGCGGCTGAAGGCTAGGGGTCTTAGGAGGGACATCCTTGTGATGTGTTCGAGCTTGTCGATGGTGGTTTGGTCGATGAACATGTCTTCGTAGTTGTCCTTGATGTTTTCTATTGCCACGCGGAGTTAGTGCGTTTTAGCGAACAGGGAGGGAAACAAAAGACGGCACCTACCTGTATTGACGATGCAGTCGAGGAGCATCTTTTCGAACCTATCCTTCGCAAGGGCCTTGAATCTCCTCATCTTCTTAGCATGTGCCGCCTTGCCCACATCCGACACGACGGATTCTAAATCACTGTCATAAACTTCCATCCTCCCGCCACCACCACCCAAGTTCCCATCACTATCGTCAGAATCCGAGCCGGGGCGCATCGACTGTGCCGCCGGCCGTCTTGACCAGGAGTGAGACCGCTCCTCGAGCCCCCAAGATGGCGTCCGCTTCGCACGCCGGTTCTCTTCGCGGTAGTAATCGTCCAGGCCGCTCATCTCGGCTTCTGAGGCGTATTCGTCGACCATTTCATTGACTCGGAGGTACACATCTTTCGAGCCCTTTGACCCTTTTGACCCTTTCGCTTCCGCGGATTCGTGGCGTCTTCGTCCTCCGTGCTTCACCGATCCTCCGGTAGCGCGCCGACTAACTCTTGGTTTTCTGAAGGGATGGCCTCCTTCGGTGTCTGCGTCATCTCCTTCGTCGATGCCGTCTATAGCAGTCGGGGATTCCACTACTGGATCGCCTTGGGCATTTCCAGGCACCCCTACCGACGGGCCATTACCAATGATCAAAGCGAATTGAGCTGGCGCTGTCTCGCCGTTGGGTTCTGACGATGCAGCATCTGGCGGCGCTTCAATGACTAGCTGAGTCTGGTGAACCCATTGAGGATTGACGGCCTTCAGATAATCGGAATAACGGCAGGGATTGCAGTTAAAAGACATTGATTGATTTGTATTTGTGTTTGTAGTTATCTTACTCATCTGAGGCCAAAAATGAAGGGATCGTTGAATTGATTTAATTCGTGGGGAGGGATATATCATTGAGTTGCTGTCGAGGTCGCCTCTCCAGCCTCTGAAGAGGGAATAATAGCATTGCCCATCCTGCAAGAGGGAGGGAAGCTTGCGACCGGGAGCGGTGCCATCTTCTGAATTGCCTGGTGCCAATTTGGACTCCTCGTTTCGCTGATTGGGAATATTGGCTCGCACTGCCTGATATCACTGGATAACTCGGCAACCCATTTTGCTGATCTGGGATCAGCCTGCATGAAGCTTGAAACAAGCATGGGTGGTGGCTTGGGCAGGGTGAGATTGGGGGCGGTTAACCAGAGAAAAGGATTGAAGGATCACAACCGCCACACGCAGCCTGGTCCTCCGCAAGAATCCCAGGGAGGGATCTTTCATCCTCGCGGCCTCCCACGGTCCAAAGTTCGCGGGGTTTTATTCGGACGGGATGTTCTTTCTGTATGATAGGGGAGTCGTGTTCGAGATGATCTTTGGCTGCGTCGCCTCTGAGCGGATTTAGGTTGATTGTTTCCTACGAAGTGCTCCGGTCGGAACCTGCTGCTACGATGGCGGAGAGACCAGCAAAGAGTATTGACGAGATGTCGGAAAAGAATGATTCCAATACACAAGTATCCGAGAATGCCGAATTCATCGCTCCTCTCGACCAGACGCGCTATCCAACATTCTCAAGGACTGTTCGCCCTTCGCTTCGCTCAAGTCGGACCACAGGGGACCTAGAGCATCACCATTCTATGCTCTCTCGGCGAACATCTTGGTCCTCCACGAGCCAGCGCATAGATCGCAGACTACGCCGGCCCTTTACCCAGCTTAGAGATCGAGCTAGGAACCAGCTTGTTCACCCTGCTATTCCGAGGAGAGCTCCCGAAGAAGACGCTACAGCAGCGCAGCCACGTGGGTCACCGGCATCATGCACCGTCGAGGACATTCTCTCCCTCGACCTTCCTGACGAGGACGACCAGCTTGTTTACCCCCAGTTTGACAGCCTGGAGGAGTATTGCATAACAGACCACGAAGCAATATCTCAGAAACTTTGGCGAGACGAAGCCGTGCGCCTTCACTACTACGTTTGCAATCCCGACGTGTCTATTCGCTTCGAGAATAGAGACTACTTTACGGTTGGAGATGAGTCGGGATATAGGACTCTCTCCAACTTGGCCGAGAAGATGCTCACGGCCCTCTCGCTCTGCGTGCTTGATAACGAATGCATCAACGTGCGATACTGCAGAAACATTTCCAATCGCGCCAAGTTACAAAAGTTAATCCAGCAAGCCCAAGTCGCCGGCGCAGCCACTGACGGCGACGAGGAAGAAGACGGTACAATTAGTCCTGAAGAGGCAGAGAAGCGCGCCCGGGAGCAGAATGCCCTCTTCGACTTGATCAATTACATCACGGCGGTGCTCGCGCGATTAATGTCGCAAATCGGCGCGGGCAAATTCTTCCAGGCCACCGTCCTCGGGGCCCTCGTGAGGCGCGTGGCGAAGATTAAGCTGCTGCTTCTCGATCTTCCGTCGAACGCCCGCGTGGCTGCGCAGAATGGAGAGTCTGTGCTCGACCAGAGCAGGGTCGTGGATCCGAGGGCGGCGGAGAGTATCATTGATGAGGAAGAGGAGTGCGAAGAGGCTTTGAGAGTCATTGAGGCGAATGCGAGGGACGGCCTTACTTCTCAAGCGGAAGCCGAGATGGCGGCGTACTGCATTAGGCAGAATAAGTACAGATCGGGGGTGAGCTCGGCGTGGAGGTATATCGCGGTGTCTTTGAGATTTCTTAATCGTTCGGGACTCCCGCCTACGGCGTACGAGATTTGCGGGTTGGTCTATGAGACTGGTTTCCAGGGTTTCAAGGTGAGTCTTTCTTTTTTCTTGCAATACTTCTTTTGGCTTCCTGCTAACCTGGGGGGCATCGCAAAGACGCTGCTTTATCAGGACCGCGACATGGAATACTGCGCAACGTCCGACCTCGACAATCTCAACACCGCCGACTGCGCCTTTCATATTCTCGAGGCAACGGTGCGGAACCTGAAACAACTTCGCAAAACAGGCGACCCGTCCAACGCCGTCACTGAACGCAAGGTCAAGACCTTTATCGAGTGGAAATACCAAGTCTTGGACTCCGACTCGTCGAAATGTGACCCCGATCACGATCGAACCCCGTTGGCCTCGCTTGAACTGGAGTACATGGACGACATCATCACCGTCATGGTTGCGCTAGCGGCAACAAACCCGTGCTTATTGGCCGATTTGACCGATTTCCGAAGTATCATGCTACTGTCCTACGCCGGCGTCGACGAGGATCTCGCCCGTCCGTACAGAGAAACGAATTTCAAGGCCTTCTTCCGCTTATTCACTGACAAAATGGAAGCCTACACCCGATCCGAGGGCGTAATGCGCCTCTCAGCCGCCTTCGAGAACGGCACCTTTGACCGGTGCAGACTCATTGACAGATCCAACGAAGGCCACACGCCCTCAGACGTATCCCGCAAATTCGGAAAACTCACGCAATGGATGGAGGAAGAATGGGTCGTCGACGAAACGTCCGTCATTGTCCCGTGCACCTTCTATGTGATCAGCACGGCGGCCCTCTCCCTTCTCCTAGCGGGCGGTGGTCTCGCCATAGGCTTCACCGTCGGCAATCGTATCAAAGGCGTCGACCCGTTCAACATTGCCACGTACGCATGGGTCCTCGCCGCTTTCCTCATCCTTATTTGTAAGAGCGTCCTTGTCTCGGAGTGGAGCTGGAGCGATTTCCTGCACTGTCGCGTACGCTGCCGCTCTGTTTCGGAACTCGAAGCCGTCACCGGCATCCGAGACCAGTTGATCATCGCGAAGCTCCTCCACGATGAAAGTGGCGGAGGAATCCTCTTTACGCGGGGTCCGTACAATTCAATCTTTAGACGCCGGTCGAAGGACTCGGGTTTCTCGATCGATCGGCCTATTAGCACGACTACGATGCTCATGAGCGGCTTGACGCCTCTAAAGGTTGTTACGCCGCGCGGTCATGCCCTCGTGTGTCTTGATGCGAGGCGCGGGACGCAGTTGCGCGTTGTTAATCATATGGCTGAGCGTGAGGAGGAGTATCTTGTTTGTGAGGACTTGAATCGCACGCAGAAGTTGGCTATGGAGAGGAGTGGGGAGGGGAGGTGTACGAGGTTGCATCTTTTGGGGTCGAAGCAGATGAAGTGGAAGAGGGTTATGGGTGTGTATGATGCGAGGAACGTGGTGTTTGTGTAAGATTTCTTCACATTTTTTTTTTTTTTTTTTTCTCTTGCTTTTGGCCCCATGTTAGTTTTCATAAAAGAATGTCGTGGAGAATAGAGCGACCAAAGATCCGCCGCGTTTCTTCTCGAGCCTTAAGTTCACGATTCCTAAAATGTAGGCCGTGATCTCCCCGTCCGGGGTAATTACTGAACTTCTCCATTACGAAGAGAACCATTCATTTTCGTCGCGTTGTTGTGTGCCCATGAAACGCGAGGTAAGCAGCCACAAGACCCTCCGTTTCGCTTTGGGCATCGATCACAGTCCCGCAGGATCCGTTGATGCCTGTAAGACCAATCGATGGTGCAGGGAACGTCACTTTCCCGTTACATTAGGCGCTTTGTGTAAAATCCAGCCGTTGACAACGGGCCGCTTCCTTGGCAGTTCAATAGTACTCATGAGCGCCACAGCGTCAGAGCCTAATGAAATGGAGAAAAAGGGGACCTGCCACCGTGGAAGGATCAGTGGGGATGGTGGGCGGAAACCAGGGGGTCCGAGTTAGGGATAAGACCCGGTGCCAAAGTTGCCTGTGGAACAGGGATGAAGATCCAGGATGGCTATGACAGGGGGGCGGTGATCCTTCACTCAGCCTTACGAAGAACGAGGATACTTGTAGAGAGCGGAAGGGCCGACTTCAGGAGCTTGGGTGACCTCTTCGTCGGCGGGTTTATGCTTCCTCCTTATTTTTTCCTCTTTTCCTGTTGGCGGTGGTTAATTTTGTTGGGCAAGAAATTGTGACGCCGTTGACGATGACGACCGAGGACGAAAGAACTAACAAGAGAGATGTCGGATCGGCGTCTTTGAGGGAAGACTCTGCGGTTGTGTTAGAAACTGGGGGCCATCCAACTGGGAATGAGACTTTATCAGAGGAACATTTGGAAGAAAAATCATCACGGACGGGGACTTCTGAGCTTGTTCGTGGTGATGAGAAAGCAGACGAGGCCGAGGATTTTGTCGTTGTCGATACTGGAGCTCCTCAGACTACACCAGAAGCATCACTCAACGAGGTCGACACAGAGGACTCGACAGCTCCTATAGAAACCAAGGTTCACGAATCTACCTCTCCCCAAACCAATGTCGAGGAAGGCGAGACTCCATCAGGAACCAGTTCTGGGGGTGATGCTTCGGATGAATTAAACAAACAGCCTCGAAAGGCAACAGACGATGAGGGGCTGGAGGCTGCCAAGAGTATTAAGACCGAAGAGGACAGGGAGGAGAGCACCTGGGAGGTACAGCCAGAGGAGATAAAACACACCAGGGACGAGAAAAACGAAGGAGAACCAAGTGAGGAGGAAGAGAAGGAAGAGAAGGAGGAGAAGAAGGAGAAGAGCGAGGATGAGGACGAGAAAGATAATGAGAGCGTGGAGGAAGAGGATGGGGATACAGACGACGATGACTCCGATGACAACTCCGATAACGAAGGAACCGACTCCGATCCCTCTTCATCAAAAAGCTACGATGACACCCCAGAAGAGGTCGACGACAATTCAGCGGCTCGCCTAGAATGGCTTCGTCAGAAACCCAACATCTGGCGGGCAAACAGGGGCCTCGACCGAATCATGTGCATGGTGGGCGTCGAGAGGGCAAAGGCGCAGTTCCTTTCGATGAAGGCTTCCATCGAGGCTTCTCAGAGGAGGGGAGAAAAGCTGCATGGCAAATCTATAGACATAAATGTGAATGGAGGCGACGGAACAGGTAAGAAGAAGAAGGAACCTATGGAGTGAATCAGAGCAAAAAGTCAATACTCTACATTAGGAAAGGATTCCATCAGGGAGCACTTCAGAGCATTCAAGGACGATTTGTACGACTGGAGCGACGACGATATCCACGTGTCCAAATCGCACTGCACAACCCGCACCATCAATCTAGACAACTTCACCGATGCAGAAATCCACGCCCTTCTCAAACTCCTCTTCAAGAAGCGAAACCTCGAGGTGGAGGGCGGCGTCGGCGGCTTTTACACGGAAATCTTGGCACGGAGGATCGGGCGGGGTCGGGACCAGGAGGACTTTCGAAACTTTTGGGCCATCAAAGATGCGTTCGTCGAGGCCTGCGATCGCCAGGCCGACCGGCTCTACGAAGAGCGTCTGGTGTGGGAGAAGAACGGGAGTAAAGAAGGCGAGGAGCCTGATGACAGGTACCTCACCAAGGAGGATTTGCTGGGAAAGCCGCCGCCGGATCTTCGAAAGACGAGCGAGGCGTACAGAGAACTTCAGGCGATGGTGGGAATGGAAAATATCAAGAAGGCAGTCGAGGAGCTGATGGACCGCGCGAGAGTCAACTACAGGCTCGAAATGAGGGGGAAGAAGTTGATCGAGACGCATCTCAACAGAGTCATTATCGGGCCACCGGGTACGGGCAAAACCACCGTTGCCCACCTCTTCGGACGCATCATTTGCGACCTCAATCTCGTTTCAAAGAAAGAAGTGGTCGCGAAAGACCCGAGCGATTTTAATTCGAAATGGATCGGCGGTCCGCAGGCAAACACGAAGGAGATCCTCGAAGAAACGCAGGGCAAGGTCCTCATTATCGATGACGCGCATACCCTCTGCCCGAGCGACAATGTAGACCGGTCGTCATCTAAAGTCGACACGAACCGGTTTGAGATCTTGGATACGATTGTCGCCAAAACATCCGCCAAACCCAACCAGGATCGTTCGATTATAATGGTCGGATACCCAGAGCAGATGCACGATATGTTCTTCAAGGGTAACCGGGGCCTTCGTAGCCGGTTTCCGCCCGAAGAAGCGTTTGTGTTGGAGGATTATAGCCTGCCACACTTAATGGACATTTTTGATAAGACGCTCCAAGAGCAGGAGACGGAAGCGACGCCCGTGGCGCGGGAGGTTGCATCACAAATCCTTGGTAGAGCGAGGGATAGGCCAAATTTTGGAAATGGGCGGGACGTTGAGAATTTGGTAAATCGGGCGAGGTCTGGATACAGAGAGCGGATCGTGAAGCAGCGTGCTGAGGCTAAAATGGAGGCAGCGACAATGGAGACTAATGGAGAGGTGGCAGGAAATGAAAAGGACGTCATCGGCCCCTTGGAAGTAAAGGTTGAACCCCCCGAAGCCGATGGATCCGAGGAGAACCCAGCGAAGAAAGCAGGGGAACCCAAAGCGCGAGAGTCTGAGGACAATCCTCCTGACATCGAGCTTGATCCTTTCGAACTCGGCGACCACGTAGTCCTGGAACCTGAAGACCTCGACCCCAACTGGAAACGAGCATCCGGCGCCGGCGCAAGCTGCGAAGACTTATTCAAAGAGTTCGTAGGCTTCGACCAAGTTGTCCAACAGTTCCGGGGCTATCAGCAGATCGCGGCGGGTATGAGACTCCATGGCAGAGACCCACGACCAAACATACCCTTCACATTCGTCTTCAAGGGTCCACCCGGAACGGGCAAGACGTCCACGGCCCGAAAGATTGGTCAAATCTTCTACGACATGGGATTCCTCGCTAGCGCCGAGGTCATCGAGTGTTCAGCCACCGACCTCATCGGACAATACCTAGGCCACACGGGGCCCCAAGTACAAGCCATCATGGAGAAGGCCCTGGGAAAAGTCCTCTTCATCGACGAAGCGTACCGTCTCGGTTCCGGTACCAGAGGAGTCTCGAGCGGCAGTTCCTTCGAAGAAGAAGCTGTGGGCGAGCTGGTGGACAGCCTCACGAAACCGCGGTACATGCGTAAGATGGTGATCATCCTAGCGGGCTACAGCGAGGACATGGACCTGCTCATGAAATCCAACAGGGGCCTCCGCGGCAGATTTGCCACAGAGGTTATCTTCCCTCAACTAAGCCCCGCGCAGTGCCTCCTCTTCCTCGGCCAGCTCCTGGGAAAGATGGACATTACCATCAGGGATAGGACGGCGCCGAGCAGCGAGGATAAGAGTAAGGTGCAGAGGTTGCTGGCCAAGTTGAGCGCCACGAGGGATTGGTCGAATGGGAGGGATATCGAGACGCTTTCGCAGAAGATTATTGGGGAGGTGTTTATGATGGAGGGGCGGAAGGGGAGGAAGTCGGCGAGGTTGCAGGTTTCGACGAGGGAGCTTATTGGGTTTTTGCAGGATATGTTGAGGGCCAGGTTGGCAGGAGAACTGCAGGACCGTGAGTGATGAAGGTGAAGCGTGTAAGAGTTGAATTCGTATGTATAATCTCTGTGTTTTTCTGAGCATACTTCGTAGTATAGAACAGTCTTGGTCAAGCTCATCGCATCTAATTCGCGTCAGTTTGTGATATCCTCAGCAAGCTTCATCTCGAAACTCTTAATCGCCACTCCCCAAGATACTATCTCCCCCATCCTGGTCGTCGACATTAATTCAATATAAAAATAATAATAAAAAATAAATAAATAAATAAAAGAATTAGGGCCGGAGGGCAGTTGTCCCGACACATCCGCCCGGTTTCAATCCCTACAGCTTGTGCTCGAGTTAAATTGTTTTTCACCCTTGCGGGTTCGAACTGATAACCTCCGGCGAACCGGGCCACGAATGCGAGCTCGCACCGCTGGGTAATGACCGACCCGGAAGCTTTCGACGATTTTTTTTGTTATGAGGTGTGAGCCGTGAGTTTGTAGTTTGGGGATCCTTCCGTTTTTGGGAGGTCTTACGGGAGGGTGTGTCGCGACTTCCTTGTTGATCTTGGACGATACGGAGGCAATATCAAGGTGAAGATAGCGCACGAGTCTGGCCTTACAGGACGGAACTAACTTCCAGGTCTACAGACGTAGGCTCACTCGCATTTTGAGCTTCTGTATCTCCGATCATTGCAACGGGAAGATGCTCTGCGTTCATTACGAGGGTGTTGGATGCGCTATCTGTCTACCAAGATTCGGGAGGTGCATTTACTACTTCCTAGAGGAGAATGTAGACTGCCTATACCCTTCTTGTCGTTTCCAATGCTCTCTGGTAATCACTTGATAAGGTCTCCCGTCGTCGGATTCGAGTCATGACACACAGCCATAGGTTGCGGTCCGATTCAGCTCCTAGAAGAGACCCGGCAGAGATGGGACGGGTTGTAGACCAAGAACTCCAAGAGAAGCATTCTCACCCAATCCCTCATAAGTCCTTCTCGGCCAGAAGACGAATACATGCGACCATACCCGCAGGAGAACTCGGAACCCCGTCCGCTCTTCCCTAGATAAGCCTGTGAGGGCCAGATTAGTAGTTTGGTCGGTGACGACAAGCGAATCCCTGGTGTTGCATGTTTTCTTTTTTTGCCAGTATTTCCATTTCCATTTTTTTTTTTTTTTTTGGTAGAACAGGATAACCCATTTCCTCGTAAATACCTGAGAAGCTTGGGCGAGAACAACTCCGAGGGATGGGCTGTCAAGGGACGAGGTAGAGAATGTTGGGTGCTGGGGTCTCAAACAAGATTATGGTAGGCACTGTCTGGATGATTAGACGTCTCGTGATATTCCCCGATACCAAGATCGACACACTTCAAGGTCATTGAGGAGAGAAGTTTGCTTGGACAGAGATTCTCCTGGCTTGGTTGGCAACCAATGATCCAAGTTTGTGATACTCCGAATCTCGCCACGTCCAAGGTCAAAAAGGAGTCATTCGTCTGCTAAGATCTAAAAATGCGAGGACAGCTGCTTGCGACGTTTCGCCGAACGAAAGAGCAGGAGACGTTGAGCGTGCCTTTAAATGGACCAAGCCAACCGATCAGTTAGATTCAAGATCGTTGAGGTGGGTGGCGTTGGCGAAGGAGGTACCCTCTTCTTTTGGTAGAGAGGCCACGTTCAATAGTTGTGCAGTGTAATCCTTTGAGCCAAGCTGAAGTAACACGAAACCTCCAGCACTAGAGGCGAATGCGCAACCGAGCTCATATAAAGTGAATATGGGGCTTTCGCATCAGAATATTCTTCTCCTTGAAGGCCGGGTCTGCATCCGGATCATCCATCCCTGCCAGCGGCGGAACCATGACCCCGGAAAGGGGAATGTGCAACACGTTCTCGAGGGGCGGGACATTCTTCGTCCACTCTGGCACGGTCTCGAACTTCTCCGGCGACGCAGCCCAAGCCAACTGCTCCTCGAGCGAGAGAATGGAATTGGGCTCCTCACGGCGCAAGCCCAACCTGATGCGCTCGTTGAAGCTCTCGACGAGCAAGGCCGGGATGCAGGAGAGGACGGCGTAGCGCTCAGGGTTGCTGCCCTGGTCTCCCGGGTCGGGGATGGAAGAGACGGGCCAGCGCGCCCACCAGAAGAGCTCGAGCTCGTTGCGGAGGTTGACAGTGTGATCGAGGAGGAGCCATTCGTAGAGGCGGTAAAGCGCGTAGAGAGGCGTGTCGGTGAAGACGCCTTCGGGTGCGCGATACTTGCGGCGGCGGAGGCGTTCGAGGTAGAAGTCGCGGCGCGAGATGAGCTCGCAGGGGTCAGGAGGGGGCCAGGAGGGGAAGAGGAGCTCGTCGTCTTGTACGTTCTGAGCAACGTCGGGGAGTTTGGCCTGACTTTTCTTGCGGGCGCAAGGAGGCCATAGCCTTGCCTTTTGATGTTTAAGCCAGAGAAGCATCATTGAGAAGTGCGAAGTTCGTCGTGTTTGAATTGGTGGATAAAGCGAATACCTTTGTACAACAGTAATTGTGGATCCGGGCGCTAGTAAAGAACGATGCGACAGACAGAGCGCAGCTTCCCATGTTTAAAGCCAGGACCCCCAGTGCTGGGGCCAAAGTCCCTAGGGCGATTTGCCGTGGTTTATCCACCAAACCCAAACGTGAGAGCCGCTTTCATCGGTTCAATTTACTGAGGTATTAAGGCCTGGCAATCCTGATCCGGGTACAAAGGAAGTACTTTGCGCCATTGGTGCTACCAAGGAATGCGGATCATTGATCAAGAGTTTGATGAAATGAAACAGCGCTCTCAAAGAATGGATACCTGCCTGCGTACGAAAGTAGTCTCGTACTCTTCAACTTGCCAAGACGGCAAGCTTTCGGATTGTCTATCCATCCAATGACGGTCATCTATCTATATGACCGCGGTCACTACATTCATTTTACCACCATTACGGGCCCCTACAACCGCTGCATTAACCAGCTGCGTTTGCCGCCCTCCGTCCTTCGCCATCCTTCGGCCTGACCCTAGCAATCTTGAAACGGCCATCAAAAAGACCCAAACGGCCAAGCAACCAACAGACACCCACGCCCACTTCCTCCCAAGTATGGCGTCCTCATACCACCCGTCGACCCTATCAAAATGTAAGCGCTTCTCCCCTCTCCCTGCATGAATGTGCCCGCACACCACCACTCTCGGTCTCGCCCTCCACAATTCCTTGAGCAGCGCCTCGCATCCTTTGCCGCCGTCATCAAGATGAGCCTTTGGCGGCCCATGTACCACCACGATGTCCGTCCCATCCGGTACTGCGCCTTCCCACGGGGTATTCCCATTTTCGTATTGGAACGCCCAGCTTCCGCACCGAGGAGTCCAAGGGCTGCCGAAAACCCGAATCCATCTATCATCCACCATGAGATCTACAGCCTCGTGCTCCAAGTACTGCACGTCCCCCCACTCGAGATCACCGCGGCCCTTGCCCGGCCGGTCTAACTCCCGATCAGGATGCGTCGCCACGAAATCGACGTCTAGCAGCAAGTCGTGGTTACCCGCGATCACGATCTTGTGCGGGTGAGGCTGGGAAGCGAGCCACGATAATTGGTCCTGGATCTCGGCGAAGGTGCCGAATTGCGAGAGGTCTCCGGCATGCACGAGGATGTCGCCCATGGGGAGATCGGACAGTTTGGTGTTGTGCGTGTCAGAGATGCAGACGACGACGATTGGCGTCGCGCCGGGATGGGCTGTTGTCGGCTGGCCTGCGGGTCGGTCGTCGACGCGGCGGGCGAGGTCGTAGAGCCTGGTGGCCAGCTTCTCTGCCACGCTCTTCTTTCGTGCATGTCCGACAAATGGACTACTTATCGTGTTGACTGGCATGATGCTTGGTAGGTGGGTCGATGGCCTGGCCCTCAATTTTTTTGTGTCGTAAAGGAAACGTGGAATCAACGGCTCTTGTGCTCTTGTGATGGAGGGCGGTTTACGACCCAAATATAGTGTAACCAGGCGCTGGGCTGCGTCGTGTCACCTGCATCTGCGGGGAGCCGCGCTGAAACGGGCGAGCTAGATTGGAGGATGCCAAATTTCTCGAACCAACAGGCGACCCTGAAACGGCCCACACGACGTAATTATTCTTAGCACAAGAACATTTGGATGTCCGACTTACACGCGGTAAACTACGATCACCGAACCGCTCGATGTCGGACCCCAGGTTAAAAACGGCCCAATGAGCCAAGAATAGCACACCAATGTAGTTTCGGTCCCCAGAGTCCCTTGATTATTCTTGTTTGTTCCAAGCCACCTCCCCTTCGAGAGATTGACTGGAAATGCCAGCATGTTCCTGATTCTAAGCGCTTCCTTCCTACCTCCCGCACCGGCAAGATACGAGGTTCATTTAAGCAGCAGAAGAAGGAGAGGTGTGCATTATAAGCGCCGTCGTGGCCAATGGATCAATTGATGGAGGTATTCCGGGCATATATAGAGGAACCTAAACTGCCAATGCAAATATGGAAAAACGAACCGGGCGTCTTAGCATTTCTCCAAGCCTCAGCAGTTTACTGTTCTTAGAAGACTATTCGAACTAGTTACTCTCTTCTCACATCCTCTACTTCGTACATTCCCTCAAACCCTCGCTTTCATCATGTGTTTTGGGTCGAACTCCGAAGATGCTCCACCTACGGGACCGCGTCCCCACCGCGGACAGCCGGCAGTCCCACTCCAAGCCATCAGCGGTCCCGTGACGCCGCCGGGGCAGGTCCCCGCGCCGGAACGAGACGAACGCGGGCTGTGGGTACAGCACGAGCAACACGAACTCACGCGGCAGAACCTGATCAAGGCTCTGGACTACGTCGCCCAATACCTACACCAGAAAGGGGAAAACGTAACCCTCGTTGCCGTCGGCGGAGCCGTCAACACCATTCTTCTCCAGTCGCGAGCCACCACGCACGACGTGGACTTCTTCTGCCGCCTCCTGCAGAATCCACGCCTCGAGACCTTGAGATCGGCGGGGCGGTACGCCGTCGAGAGAAGCTCAGTTACTTTGAGCGCGGACTGGCTCAACAACGCAACGGCTAGGATGCCCGGGGTGGTGGAGAACATAGACTACCTCGTCCGGGCGGCCGTCGACCAGAATGCCATCCTGTTCGACAGGCCTGGGCTGAAGGTTGTGGCGGCCCCGTGGAACTACGCCTTCATCAAGAAAGTGAGCCGCATCACCCAGGGTACGGGTCGCGCCTATGATGCCTCGGATGCCGTGGCGTACCTGCATCAGTACATCAGGACCAGTAACCGGGACGAACCGGTCTCGCTAGAGAGGGTCCAGGAGTGGGGGAGGCGGTATAAGGCGCTGTGTCCGGTGCAGATTCTGGAACAGATCAACGAACTCTATAGGCGAACATACGGTATCGACGGGATACTCTTGGTGGGTGGGGAGTCATCTGGTCAACGGCGAGGTCGGCGCTAGTTTCTCCTTATTTGATCATTTGGATATTGTGTGTTTTAATGAAGATCGAGAGTATTAGCTTTTAGTTCAACGGCCCTGCTCAAATTTCTCCTGACTCTTTGGGATGATTCGAGCAGTAGTTCTCACATCCCGATCGACCTCCCTATCAACTATGTTCGTTAGGAGGTTCGATGCCAATATATGGGTATACCTCTAGACACTTCTGATAGAGCCGCTAGGCCCGACCCAGATATGCACTCAAGGACTCACTCTCTCGTCTTCGGAGTGCGGTAGTTGCGGCCGCAACTGCTAGGTTCCGGGCCACCTGAGCAGCCTCACCATACTTCCTCTGTACCGCTTCGATAGTCTTCTGCCAATCCGATCGAGTCTCCTTTGAGAGGGCTAAGTACCAAGCCTTGGCGGCTCCCCTCAGACCTGACCTGAAACACTGCCTTTTCAACAGGACTTTCTGGCCTACATCTGGCAATTTCAGTACCACGACCGATGCCTCCACACAGTATAGGTAGTCCCCAATATGCTCTCAGGGATCCGTAGAAAAAAAATCACCGGCGCTAGAGTCACCAACACGGATTCTTCTTGATCATCTAGCCCCCCTTCCTGGTTCTCTGGGTATTCTGTGAAATGCTCCTCCTCACAAAGCTTTTTCAGCTGTTCTGCCTCTCTTGGCGGGGCTGTGGGTGGTGTAGCAGGCACCGATTTTGAGGAGGAGGCTTTCTCAGTAATAATAAGGCGGGAGCCTTCACTGTCTTCAATCATGTAATGATATGCACACTGCTGTTTACACGCAGAGGCTCGGGAGGAGGGCGAAGTGGAAAATTAATGGAATCCATCGTCAATTGCAGGAAATTTCGTGGCTCATCAATGTGTGAAACAAGCGGTATTCAATCGACCATCCCAATCTTGCAATGGTGCCCCGCGGGTCACCGACTCCTTAACCTAAGCTGAATGTTGTGAGAGGCCAGTGTTCGATCAATGGTTGCGATCCCGGAATAATTCCTAGCAGCCGGATATAGCATTACTTGAAGTTAATAATCGACTGCGAGAAATCGACAGATGTTGTGACGCCTGGAGGACCTTTGATATATATCGGAGGTTTGTGTCACACGGAAGCTGAGTCGCTGAGAGCATCGCCGCTTCAGATTCTACCAGCTCTTCGAGTTGGGGTGGAGCTAGCATCCATCACCACGGCACTACCACGGCACTTAGATACGCTTACCCGAAGGGTGGATTCTCGAAATAAAGGGCTCCAACAACATCGGGGGAGAAGATGAGGAGAAGTTGTTAGCATCATATAGTCGAAAACGAGAAGTTGCAACTGGGGAATCAGATCGAAAGCGGATTCTCCTCTGCTTACCTAATCAACCCTCAAAATTCATCACCAACACCAACTTCACCTTCATTTTCCTTCACCCTCAGCCTCGCCTTGCTTCCATTTCACATTTACTACTTACAACTTTATATCCCTAGCCTGCCGTCATGATGAATTTATAACGGAAATTCTATTGTATTTTCTGAATGTTCTGGCTCCTTTCAATCTCCGAATCTCAAATCAATAATTGAGCGGAGCTCTACTATCTGCAACTATGAAGCAGCTTCGTCTCATCACAAGGTCCATTGCGAGGACGAACCAGCCTGGACTATACACACCCTCTTCATCAGCAGCCCGGCCATATCTCTCCAAGCCGAGTGTTGCAAGACTTCACTCTAGAGCAAGTCCCACCTCCTCAAGATCTTACAGCACCTCACCTACGCCACCCACCAAATCATCCCGGCTCCCCAAACTCTTCCTCCTCGCCGCCTCGGCCACAGCCCTAACCTTCTGGCTCTTCCGACCCCCTACCAAGCAATCAACCCTCAACACAACAAACTTCGTCCCCTACACCGTCCTCTCCAAGTACCCCGTCTCCCCAACCTCCTTCATCATCACCCTCCGCCCCCAAACATCCCCGTCCTCTCTCCCCTACCTCACCCCAGACGGCTCCTGGTGGGACTTCCAATGGTCCGTCCAAGTGAAACAGCCGCAGATTCAAATCCAGCGAGAATACACGCCCTTACCGCCCCCTCCTGGACAACCCGATGACGGCCTCCTACGCTTCTTCGTCCGCAGGATTCCTAGGGGCGAGGTCTCGAATTATCTCGGCAAGATGGAACAGGGCGACACTGTTGAGCTCCGTCTCGGCGACAAGGGCTACACGTTTCAGCATGTTGAGGCGGAGAGCGCTGAGGATGTACTTTGCGTGGCGGGCGGTACGGGCATCGCGACGGCTATGCAGATTGCGCATTCTGTGCTGAGCAGACCGGGGCGCGTGCATCCAGATACGAGGGTTCGTATCCTCTGGGCCGTCCGGTCGAGGTCTGATATTCAGACCGTCCGCGGTCCAGCGGAATTGGCGAGGCTCGGGGAGGGTGAGGAGTTGGAGGGAGTTACGGATATCGCGAAGAGGCTTTCGGACATGAAACGAGCTTATGGCGCCAAGATATCCATCGCAGTCGCCATCGACGACGAGGGCACTGCCATAACCGAGACCGAGTTGAAGGATGCCTTGAGGATTTCTTCGAGGGCGTGGCCGAAGAGAGGCGTCGCTTCACCCGTCTATCCGTGTGCGTTGCCCGCTCCTATCGCGGCCTTGTGCGAGACGGAAGAGCATTCTTCGCCTTCCCCGGCGGCGAGTGAAGGCGTACGAGCTGGTGTTGCGAACTTGCATCGCCCAATCTTTGTATGTGGCCCTGAAGGCTTCGTCGACAAATTTGCCGGAGAAGCCCAGAGACATGCCAGCGGTGCGCTGTTCAGACAGGGCGGGATACTCGGTGATTTGAATGCGAAGTATGATGACGCGAAGCAGCCGTGGCTAGTCCTCGGCTTTCCCTAGTTCCTCTGAACAAACCTGATAGACAACCATGTACAGCTATTTTAGACCTTCGATAGACAAAAGATCACACTTGTAAAACATAATGCAACTTGTATTACCACCGTCGACCCTCTGAGTACATTCAGCCTCCGCATTCGTCACGTAACCCAAACCTAGAACGCTCAAGTGAATAGAACCAGGAAAGAGAAAGAAAATAGAGGTCCAAGGAAAGGGCTAAGGACAAGAAGAAGAATCTATCGCACACCCAACCTAGAAACGCCTTCATAATAACCAAAATGCCATCTACACCCGCGACAGACAAGCAAACACAGCCCGACTATCTGTTCTGCACCTTCCTATACGAAGGTGGCTTCATCGTCCGGCTTATCACCTTGACCGCATACGGCGGCACCAGCGAGATAGCTCCAATGGCGAGGACCCTCCACAAGAAGCCCCTAATAACACAAATCGTTAGTGCCAGAGTTCCCCGAGACGAAATGACAAGAAGAGAAGAAGAAGAAGCACATACCAAGTAATCACAAACGCCAAATCAAAATAATCCCCCAAAAACGGCACCGACCCAGCATACATCAAAAACGTCCCCAAAATACAGGCCACCATAACAGGATGCCACGTCGTAATCTCGATCGCCACCATCAGCAGCTCGTTGAGCACCAGCACCGTGTAGCTGACGGCCCGCATGCGGTCGCCGTCCACCTCGGTGAGGATCTGCGAGAGGCCCTGGATGATGCTGCCTTGGTAGATGGACACGAAGACCCAGATGAAGAAGGTGCGGTAGGAGAGGGAGCGGCCTTCTGTGAGTTCCTTGTAGAGCTCTGGATAGAGGTTGGCGAGGTTTTCGTCGACGTCTTTGTCGAGGACAAGGGAGAAGACGGGGGCGGCGGTGTAGATTGTAGCGTAGCCGACGAGGAGCCAGTCCTGGGAGGTTTGGGTTAGTATGCTTTAGGTCGACAGAGTCAGTAGTAAGAAGGATAAAGTAAACTTACCTTGTACAAACCCTCAGGCTCAAAGTTCATGGCAATGCTGTACATCGTCTGACACACAGCAATGATAAGCCCACGATGTATAACAAACTGCGCTAGCTTCGCACTCCGCTTATAGCTATTCCGCCCATGCCACACCAGCAACTTCGTCAAATGACAAAACTGTTCAATCGAAAAGTCCGCAGCAAGTGATGCCTGCCTCCCCTCCTTACCCACAATACCAACACCAACATCAGCGGCCTGGATCATCGAAACGTCGTTCCCACCATCGCCGATACAACACACGCGCTTCTTGGTATACTCCTTGATGAGCTTCGCAATCTCGGCCTTTTGCGTTGGGGAGCAGCGGCACGCTACGACCGTGGGCAGACGCACGGCGACGGAGATGAACTCGATGCGGAAATGCGTGAGGTACAGCGCGAGGCTCTCGCCGTCGATGAGGAGGCACGAGTCCGGCTTGCTGCGGAGGAAGTCGAGATGTTCCTGCGCGCCGTCCTTTCGGCTCAGCTTCGCCACCGTATAGATATACTGACCGCGGGCGACGAGCTTCGAGCTGACGGCGACGCAGCGCGCCGTTTCGACCTTGTCACCTGTGAGCATCCAGATCTTGATGCCGGCGTTCCGTAGGAGTTCGAGAGAGGGCTTGACGTCGCGTTGCAGCTTGTCTTCGACGCCGGTGACACCGAGGAGCTCGAGATCGCGTTCGAGGTACTGCGAGACAACCCTTTGCATGCCCGCGTCGCGGCCCGAAATCAGCAGAGCTGCCTCTTGGTAAGCCGAGGAAAATTCTTGGTACTGCTGGTACGAGAGACGCTTCCGGCCGACGACGAGAGTGCGGAGACCTTCGCGAGCCATGTTTGCTGTCTCTTCGTCGAGCCAGTCGTTTGCCGCCACGATGGATCCCATGACCGTATCGGCACCCTTTTGGTAGAACCAGATCTCTCCGCTCGACAAATCGGGGGTCTTGTGCGAGGCGTGCTCGTAGAATTGCACAATGATACCCATGCGCTTGCCTTCGGAGGTGAAAGGGAAAATATCAAGAATCCTAACTTGCACGACCCGTCTGCGCGTGCCAGTCGATTCGAGGATCATGCCCTTCCTGTCGCGGTGCGCAAGTCGGAGGCCCACAGATTCCGTCCATCGAACAATGGCAATTTCATCAGGCGACGAAGCTTGGTAAGAAGTGACCATCTTTCCATCCTCCTCCTCCATAGTAGGAGTAACATTGTGGCACAGCGCGAGGGCGAGAACGACATCCCGGACACGAGATCCAATCTCACGTCGGGTCCTCGTGGCACCCCCGACATTTCCAGAAGCCGAATAAGACGCAGAGGGCGTGATGAGGGCAGTCTTAGAGGAAGGGTCGAGAGTCGGCTGGATGTGGAAACCTTGCGAAATGTAAGATGCGACTTCGTCCATCGCATCGTTGGCATACGAAACCGTGCCGACGTGAATCTTCTTCATCTCCATTTCGTTTTGCGTGAGTGTGCCAGTCTTGTCGCTGAGAAGATACTCGATACGCCCCAGATCCTCGGGGATCGTACTCGTTCGCACGACGGCGCCGGGGATGCCCGGATCCCGCTGGATGAACCATGAGTACGCGCTCTTTCCGATGTCAAGGTTGACTCTCAAGCTTATTGGGACAATGGTCGAGAAGAGGACGAGGAAACGCATGATCTTGATGTACCATCTGTTTCCTTCGGTATTGTTGAAACCTTCCAAGGCGACAAGAACGATGGAGAGGGTTAGAGTCAATGCGCAGAGGATCTTGGTAAGAGAGTTGATTTCGTATTCCAAAAGGCCAGTCTTGGAACGTGATGGGGCCGTGGAAAGTGCCGAGCGGGTCTGGGGGCCGGTATACATGATCACAGCCAGGGTCGTACCCTGCGAAGCAATGACGGTATTCGCCCACGCTGTGTTATCAAGAGACAGGGGAGCCGAGGTTGAGTGATCTCCAGCATTGTTCTGAAGTTTGGCATGGTGATCCTGAGCCTCTTCCCGGCTGCCCATTAACTCTACTGTTCCTAGAAACTCGTTGACCTTCTTGTCGGGCTTGCCACCGGTCACCCGTAGGCGGACAAACTCCTCCGTAGCAAGATTCTGGGTCAAGGGCGATGCGAGCCGCAGCTTCCAGTCGGTTTCGCCATCAAGTTGATCGGTTCGAATAAAAGTTTCGCCCGTGGAACTATCATCTGAGTCTTCAGCATCAGCGCTCACGGATGCGGAGCCATCTCCAGCTTTTTGATCCTCGGAACCTGTGTCCACAAGGAGATTTTCAGCCTCTGCGACCCCGTCATCTCCCCTCCCGTCTTCGTCCTCGTCCTCCGGAGAAGCCTTGGCGAGATCGGCCGTGTAGCACTTCAAAATGACCACATCGGCAGGAACTCTCTGTCCTTTACTGAGCTTGAGAACGTCACCAACCTTCAAATCTCGAGACTTGCGGCTGATCTCCTGCACAGTGGAAGACGGATGAGACGGCTGGCCAGAACCCTCAAGTTCCTCTTCCTCCTCTTGTATGTCAGACAGCCGATCCCGAGGGGAGAGTGGTCGCTTCCCCGGCTTCCGAATCATCTCAGACCGTAGTCTCTTTCGGCTCCGTACGCTAGCACCCCGCATCTCTCCAGGGTACCCGAAATGGAGAACGGTATACTCCTCCGCATTGGCCTCATTATCCCTGCGCCTCCGGCCAATGTCGTCCCAGGCCTCCTTGCCCATCGTTATCATTAGTACAAACGCCAGCGGTGCAATGTAGGTAGAAAGGTATCCGATTCGGAGGGCGGGTATCGCTTGCGACAAGGCGACGAGTAAAAAGTACATGTTGAAGAAGAAGGAGAATTCATTGTAGAGAGTTATCGGTAAGAAGGTGAGAGCGGTATATTTCGCGTTGGAGACGATATTCGGGGGGAACTTCGTCGTCTGCGTCGATCCTACGGCGACGTGCCGCGACGCCGAGGGGTCGTCTTCGTCTTGGCTATCCTCATCATCCGAATCGCCGCGATTCGACGAGGACGACATGAAACTCGGTATCCGAATCGCCGACCCTATATTATGGGTAAAAGACCGCCGGCGGGATCGCGGGGAGCGCTCCGCTAGTAACGGGGCATCGTCGCCAGATCCCTCAGAATACCTACGTCCAGCCCCACCACCGTCTCCCAGGATCGCCTCTCCATGCTCTCCCACTCCGTCTCTGTTTTCCCCGAGCTCACCGTACCTCCCGGCTCCCCTCCTTCCGGATCGGCGCAACCCACTCATTCGGAGATTTCGAAGGGCTATACCGGGAGATTTCCTCTCGGGGGTCGTCGAGCTATCGGGGTGCAGACGGTCGGGGCTTCGATGGGTCGAGGAGGTCGTCGGGTCGAGCTCTTCGAGGTCGAGATCGAGGTCGGAGTCGGAATCATCCGCCGGGGAGTCCGGAGGCTTCGGCGGAGCGTAACCGGCGCGGTGAGGCATGGGGCATCGAGGTTTGGGGGGAGGGGGGAAGTTATGTTGGAGAGGAGATGGGTAAGACTACTGCGTCTTATGATGGATGGTCGAGGTTCGAGGGAGGTATTTGCTTTAAGTTTCCGTGGAAGCCGTCATTGGGAAGAGATAAACGGTTATGGCACACGACGGTCTGAGGGTTTGGTGTTAGGAATTTAGGTGGCTCAATGATGCTGCAGTCTGCGCTCTGCGCAAAGGGCTGGAAATGGTGATGAAGATATTGGGTTGTGGAAGGATTTAAGTTGGATTGTAAAACGGAAAAACAGGCAGACAGATATCGATTCCTGACTTCGTATGGCTTTCGTGTCTCGGTCGCATTTCCTTCAAAGGCTACGTAACACCCTTTTGTCTAGGAATCTCATGAGCTCTGTCGCTGCCCTGGCACCACCTGGAAACACTGACGCAGGACCCTGGCCAGTAGATTTTTGCCGATAATTCTCCGGGTATGCCGGGCATAATTGACGCTGCCCGACTTATGCAGAACATTTCGATTAGGCTTTAGTGCGTTGACCCACTAAAATATTTGAGACGCGCTCCTTCACGTCAAATCGACCACCGCGTAGAGAGGTATCGAGGTGAGATTATCCCACCAGCCTCAAATTCACGAACCCATCTCGACATCTCGATATCTCAACAGATAATCTCCTCCTTTCCCCGCTTCGGAATCAGATACGTGTCAACAGTGCCATTCTTCTCGAAATGTCCAATTCAAAGCCGGCAGACGTCGGCGAGTCGTCGACGTCCGCGTCTAAGGCAGCCCTTGCTCGTGCGGCCAACGGGAACCCTACCTACGAACTTCCTTGGTATGGTGTACTTTTCCTGCTCGGCCGGTAATTTAGGGGAGGCTCCGGAAATGTGTGCTGACGGACCGTGACGCAGGGTTGAAAAGTACAGACCCATCTTCCTCGATGATGTTGTAGGCAACACAGAAACGATAGAACGCCTCAAAATCATCGCTCGAGAAGGCAACATGCCCCACGTCATCATCTCTGGAATGCCAGGTATCGGCAAGACGACAAGTATCCACTGTCTCGCGCGGCAATTACTCGGAGACGCCTATAAGGAGGCCGTACTAGAACTCAACGCCAGTGACGAAAGAGGCATCGACGTCGTGCGCAACCGAATCAAGGGCTTCGCCCAAAAGAAAGTCACCCTCCCGCCCGGCCGCCACAAGCTCGTCATCCTCGACGAAGCCGACAGCATGACTTCGGGCGCGCAACAGGCCCTCCGCCGAACCATGGAAATCTACTCCAACACGACGCGATTCGCCTTCGCGTGCAACCAATCTAACAAGATTATCGAGCCCCTGCAATCCCGCTGCGCTATTCTTCGCTACTCGCGGTTAACGGACGCGCAGGTGGTGAAGAGGCTGATGCAGATCATCGAGGCGGAAAAGGTTGAGTACAGTGACGACGGACTGGCGGCGCTCGTGTTTAGCGCCGAGGGAGATATGCGTCAGGCGATTAATAACTTGCAGTCTACGTACGCTGGTTTCGGGTTCGTGTCAGGAGATAACGTGTTCAAGGTTGTGGACTCGCCGCACCCTATAAAGGTGCAGGCCATGCTCAAGGCGTGCTACGAGGGGAACGTCGATGCGGCGCTGGATACGTTACGGGAACTCTGGGACCTCGGATACTCGAGTCACGATATAATCAGCACCACGTTCAAAGTTACAAAGACGATTCCGACCCTCAGCGAACACTCGAAGTTGGAGTTTATCAAGGAGATTGGCTTCACGCATATGAAGATTCTGGAGGGCGTGCAGACGTTATTGCAACTTAGTGGCTGTGTGGCACGGCTTTGCAAGTTGAACATGGACCCCAAGCGATTTGAGATTCCAACAAAGTGAGGGGGCAAAATCAGGAGTAATGGCTTATTTGAAGGATCAAATAAAAAGTTGGGGAACAAAGACAGGGAAGGAAAAGATAACAGTCCCCTGGAACGAGAATGGGAGTGGAAAATGAGAGCTCTAAAGAAGTGGGATTTACTCGTCATGAATAGGTCGGCATACCCGAGCCGAACCGGATTGATGTCTATGATACATGAAAGAAACAGTTGACTCCCGCCGAGTCTTCCGTCGGGGAATAAGAATAGCGTACCGACGCACATTGATCATTTCGAGCTCTTTTCCTCGAGGAATTCCTGCTCATACCTCTCCCATTTGGCCTGGTCACGCGCTATCCGACGTTGGAGCCTGATTCTGTTTTCGTACATCCTCATCCGGTTGTCCGCCTCGATCATTCCTCCCACGATCATGGCTGATAATTGCAGGTACCTAGGATATGTGTTGGCCGCATGTTACCAAAACAGATATACACACCTGTTGCTTCTGGGGGAAATGCCGTTACACTTTGAATTGGATCGTCAATCCCCTGTAAAGAGGGTAGGCAGTTTGGCCAATGCCCGCGAGCACCGCAGCGGCAGCCCCCCATTTCAGGGCTCCCGATATTGAGCCACGACCGGCTTCCCGCGCGGCCTCGGCAGCCTCTTCCGACCTCGTAGTACTCCAAGAAGGCATTTTGGGTAGCCGAGTTCTCACGATCTCGGATCCGAGGGAAGGTTCTCCCGTTGCTGGGGAGATGTAACTGATGATGTAAGAACGGCACTGGGGGGTGTCGCGTGAGGTGCTCGTCAGGACCTCAAGTCAGAGACTCAGGATAGAATCAAAAGAAACTATAGACTTAAAACGAATATTCACAAAAGAAAAGAGTGAAAAAAATAGCTTACAGCCAAAAACGAAGAATCTACCTCGCTGTGGCGATCCCAGCATCAAGGTTCCCTCGGAAATGCTCAAAGCTCAGGTGAGGTCCCCGGCAAATCAGCGGCAGAATAACCCACCCACCCCACATTTGGAAGCTCGTTCCTGCCTTTAAATTTGGGAGTGCAGGAGCCTTCCAGCTTGTTCCTTCTGTTCCCTTTTAATAGCACGATTTCCAAAAGAACACGAATCACCAACACCAACAATGTGAAATAAACCAGCAACGTCAGCGCTGCAACCTGCGCAGACATTAATTCTTCTTCTTACTTATTCCCAACCTACCCTTGTCTGTTTCTCAGACACACAATCGGGATCCAACACCAATTTGACACTGGCTCAACACCTCTTCCAATTGACCTGTTGAAAAATTTTGCCCTAGTGGGGAAATTCAGTCAAAGATGTCGTCTCAAACAGGCTCGGGCGAACAGCTCGTGGACCAGTGGCGGCGATTACCTCCGCTCGCCAGGTACGAAGCTCCCCAAAGGCTATTAGCTTCCAGGAACACTCTAAGAAGACTAACAATTGCTTCTTGTTTTGCAGGAACATCTCCACGGCTTCGTTCGTCCTGTCGGTCTTGTGCTACACGGGCTTCGTCGGGATGTGGCGCGTCTTCTGGGATACGGGCTACATCACCAAGTTCCCCCCGGAAGTATGGAGGTTCATAACCTCGTTCCTCATCACGAACCCTCAATTCGGGATCATCCTCGACCCGTACTTCCTCTACATGTATCTCTCGGAGTTGGAGAGGGGTAATTCACGCTTCCCAAGACGCGAGGACCTTGTGTGGTACCTCATCTTCGTCTCGACGACTATGGTGGTATGTCCGAACTCTTTTTCTTTTTATATATACATGTTCCTGTTGCCATTGCTTCTTTCTGTGTCCCTCTATATCTGCCCGCATAGTGGTCATCCCACAGCTATAGCGGTTCCTGAAAATGAGGAAGATCACCCCTGCATCTAGGCCGCTCCACATCATTCGCAAACAGGAGTTTTGGTCTGGATGTGGGCATGGTGGGATGTCTATATGGATGGCTCGGCTGGTTCCTATTACCGGTCCGGGTGGTTTTTCAGCACCCTACATTTCTTTACCTTTCCAACCTTCTTTTTCTTTTTGCCTTTTTTGTTCCTCTTCGCGATCAGACTTAGTTTCTTGGAAATCTAACATGCTCCGATATCAAAGGCCGTAACCGAACTAGCCTGGCGCTACACCCCCCTCCTCTCCGGTCCCTACCCAGCCTTCATCTCCGGCCTCATCATGTCCCTCTGCTACACCGTCCACCAAGACCAACGCGGCCGCATGGCCTCCTTCATCTTCTTCACCGTCCCCGCCCAGCTCGTCCCCTACCTCATGATCGTCTTCTCCTTCATCATGGGTAACCTCTACATCATCCCCCTGCAGATCATCGGCCTGCTCATCGCCCACGCCTGGGACTTTGGTCGCCGTCTTTGGCCCGAGTTCGCCGGCGGTAGGGTCCTTTTGCCCACGCCTGGTTGGGTTTCGTATTTGATTGATACCCCGAGGGTATTGAGGAGGGACTATGGCGCTGTGTATACGCCGAGTAGTGGGGCGCAGCCAAGCACTGGGTCGAGTACGGGGGCTGACAGGGGTCCGTTGCCTGAGTCGTGGAAGTCGAGGGGTCCTGGTAGGAGGTTGGGTTGAAGAGACGGGTTGGGCGTGTATGAGTAGTGTAAACCAACGTCATGAATGACTTTTTTCTTTTGAGCAGTGAGCAGTCTTGAGAACAGACTGCTCGGTGTGTATCGGACGGATCACGGAACGGCATAGTCTTTACACAATGATACCAATTTTGCAACTCTATCCTGTCTTCTTGCTTGACCTGTGAGTATATGGTGCATTGTCGAAACTCCCATCGTCCTATTACCCTGGCATGGATGCCAACTTAGCATCAAATAGGTAGTTTCGTTTGAGGGCGGAATCCTAACTCTCTGAAAGCACTCCCCGATCACCTTTGCACAACAACACAAGAAGACATCCAAATATCGTTTCAAAATCTAAATTCACAAGTACGTAATTCAGAAGTAACAAAATATATCCCTATATATACCATCCCAGACGCATCCCATCCCATCATACCATGTCCCATTAAAAACCAAACAATGTCCCAAACCAATTGACTCCTGTATATCCTAAATGCCATCCCTTTTAACCAAGACATGTAGGTTAATGACCCACTGACCCAATTGCCCTGTTTGCCAATGCTCCGAAACCAGCCGTTCATGAAAATGTAGAAACAGAAGTAAAACATATGCTCCCTGGCGAGTAACCAGACTGCCCAGTCGTTACCAAGTGCCCCCATATATATAAATTCCATAACATGTGAAGTTCGCGTAGTCCTGTTCATCCTTTCTTTTTATCCATAGAGCAAGCTCTCAACACGGTTGATTCGTGTAGCGGAGCGGTAGCCGTGTTGTTCTCATTGAAGATGTGGAGTACTCTCGGTTGCGGCCTTTCTTAGGCTGCGTCTCTCGTATCAAGAGATGCGTCCACCTTGAGATACCTTGGCTGCGAGGATGATGACGCCTCGTCAGGGGTGGCAGGCTCGAGAGTCAGGGTAGGAGGGGTATACTTCTTAGGACCGCGAGCGCGTCCCAGAGATGGAATTGCTATGGAAGGCACCTGTGCGGCGCGAGGGGGTGGGGGAGGCATGGTAAAGCCTTCGGGAAGGGTAGCAGCGGCTTGTTCGGTTGGGTGAGTCGGTTGGGGGGTCGAGGCCCTGGAGTCGGCCGACGGTTCTCGTGAGTGCGTTCGTGAAAAGTTCTGAACTTGGTTTCGGAGGGGGTGGTTCGAGGAGGTATTAAGATTATAGGCACCGGGGTGGTTTCGATTCGGTTGCGGGGAAGGGGTGGCGGAGGAGCGTCCATCGCGGGACATGGGATTATAGGCGGGATGCGTCGGGATTGAAGAACTGTGGCCACTAAACGACCGGCTGTGATTATAGTTGTGGGAGTACTGAGAGTACTGCTGAGTGTGGTGGTTGTTGTTTATCGTTCGCTTATTTCTGGCACCCTCATCCTTTTCGGCGTAAGGATCGGCGTAGTTAGAGGCTCGGCTCGACGACACGGAACTCGACTTCTTGTGGTCGGGAGCGGCCCATGGCTGGGCGTGGGAGATCATAGTTCGCGAGCTACTCCGCGAGTTAGGGTCTTCTGCCCCTCCATTCTGGTCCTGGTCCTTCAACGTACTTCGCTTCTTCCTACGATACACGAACCAGAGGGCGAGCCCTCCGAACACAAATAGCGCAACACCAACGGCGATACCGACGATGGTACCGGTGGTGAGGCTGTTGGGCGAGGCACCGGGGTCCTCGTTCTCATCGCTCTTGCCATCCGTCACTTCAAGCGCGGCACGAGTGAACGGAGATCCGCTGATTCCCAGAATGGCTCCGGCAGCCGGCTTCTGGGTGCAGCCTACTTGTAACGCGACCATGACTATCAGAAGGAGAAGGGTGTCAGTGAAAATTCTATAGAACTCGGCTTGAGTCTAGAGACAAACTTACAGTTACCCAAGTAGGTCTCGTCATCGCTCGACTTGAGGCAGGCGACACAGGATTTCAAGGTCTTGCCAAAGAATGCGCTGTTCGAGGCAGTGCAGTATCCGAAAGTATCGGATTTAGGATCGAGTTGTCCATCAAGAATTGCATCCTTGAGAGGCTCACAAGCCCAGTTGATAACACAAGGTGAGCTGATCACCTTGCTCTGGTCCTCGAAACCGTAGAGACACGTGCCAAGAGCGTATCTGAGGTTGTGAATAAGCCAGAAGATATCGCTTTCGGTGCCGTTGGTCTTTTGACTCTTCTGCAGACATTCTAGGCAGGCCTTGTACTTGATTCCTGTGTCGGTGTTCGAGTATTTGCTGTCTTGGCACACAATATCTGTAGCGTTCGTACTGGACGAATCAGGCGAGAAGGGATCTCCATTTTCCTCGTCCATGCAGAGGGAGGCGCATGACGATCCTGGTGTCACCTCAAGACTGAGAACGGGGCGGAGAGAGAAGAAGAGGAAGAGAAAGGAAAGGAAAAGAGTTGAGGAAAGACGAAAGGAAGCCATTGTGTGCGTGGATTGAGGGGAGAGAAACGGGTGGAAAGAGTCAAAAAGGAAAAGGATTCGGGAAGGGGATTCTCGAGAAGAGAGTTCGCGGGCGAGGATGAGAGGGAGAGATGAGAGAAAGACTATAAGACCTCGATCTCAAGCATGGCCAAAATGCGTCTCCTTCCACTTCCTTCTAAGTGGGCGAGGGCGGCCGGCGACCAGTCGACCAGTCGACTCAGCGAAGCTCGTTATCGGTTGCGGGTCGGGCGATCTTCGCGGATGTCTAGATTTGCCAAGGGAATCTCACTTCAATCTCATTCAATGAGATGTCGGAATATTGAAGATATCTGTCTGATTTAAAGAGAAAGAGGGGAAACCATAAAGGGAGAGAAACCATCAAAGAAGATCTAAGCCACAAAAGATTGGGGGGGGCAGCATAAGATTCATATATCAACGGGATGTAGTTTAGAGTACCATCGGCCAAGTAGGGTAATGGGAGATACTGCATGCAAGTCTTATAAGAGATCTGCTTTGTACTTCGTACATGGACTGGCAAAATGGGAAATTGGAAATAGAAAAAGAAAAAGCCAGTGGCCGGCAGAAGGATGGTGGAGGTGGACCGGCGCATCGAAACGGTGGGATTCCCCCGCGCTTCGTCCATCGGCTGTAAGTCCATTCGATCGACCAGAATCTCAGGCGAAGGATCTAGACGTCCGAAGCGAGGTAACTCCCTAACTCATTTGCCATAGTACGAACACACTAGACTGGCTAAAGAGCAACCTGCGTGGCAATTTTACCCATGTGTCCCGGAATAGATTACACAGGGAATTGGGATTGGGAGGGGAGGCCAAATAGCGGGCCGCAGACCCCTGGGCGCGTCGACGGCGAGCGGAGAGACGTGGATAGGTGAGAACGAAGGGAGAATAGTCGCCAGGAATGGAGGTCAAGTGGACTCTGGCCGACCTCGCGCCCGAGCATTGGTCGGTTGCCAGAATGGCTGTTTCTCAGAATAGAAACAAGAAGCACGGGGCTAGCGAAGGCCAATTCGGCGGGCCCCCCAGGGACATCCCAGCTCTCGCAGTTTGTGGGTCAGCATGAGACTGCCGGGGGAAGCTCTGGCGGTGGTACTTCGATCCACCGTAGCCGTGTGCGGGTGCAGAAAGTCCTTCCCGAGAGTGGTATTGAGAGTTGAGGATCATGGAACATGCCAATGCCAGCAATCGATCAAAATCTGATAAAATGGCTGGCTTGCATCAGCCAACCATCCAAACGTTGCATGCTTGGCAAGTCTTGGCCCAGCAGTGAGAATCGCCCTTCCATCGATTCGGCCCAATCAGCGCCATCTTTTCTCGCTCTGGGCGCCAAAGTGACCCTGGAGGCTTTCTTCCACGCGCCGGGCAGACCAATGATTTTGGGGCTCCATTCCAGGGATAGTTGGGACGGGACAATCGTAGATGTGGTTGGTCTCCTCGCTCTCGGCGGCCCCACCACCTCCTCCTTCCTCGCCGATTTGAGGAGCGCTGCGTCCTGGGCGACGGCTCCTTCCCTCTCCGCTGGTGAACCGTGGATCCATCGATGGAAAGAGCGCATCGGTTAAGTTTTGCGGCGGCCGGCGTGGATTGTACAAGTAGTCATTGCTAGCGAGGTTGTCGGGGTTTGGAGACAACCCAGATGTACGAAGTAGCAGTAGCAGTAGCATTCGATGTTAATCCTAGCCAAGTCCATTTTACTTCGTACTGCACAAGATTAGATACACAACCGATGCGAAGGGAGATTGGAAGGGGCAAATGTCGCCTGGACATAGCCAGCCTCCCCGAACCAAACAAAGTATTCCAAAGTGCGAACATTGAAGCATTACTTCGTAGGTAGTACTGCTTATGAAGTAAAGATATGCCCGGCTTGAGCCGAGGGTCTAGATCCTCATGGGCCCAAGTTGAGAAGAACATCCCGAGCCTTTGTTCCTCCCCGACAGTTAATGTGTTCCATATCGTGCATTCTTTCTTCAATCCCAATCAATGTGCGAAGGTGGATACCGGATAATAGCAAAGGCCATGCTTAAACAGGACCGCCGCTGTTGTTTATTAGCAGCGAATAGAGCACGGAATCGCTTGGTGTCAATCGCAGTCCACACAGCGTTCGGCTACGGCCATCAACATGTCAGACTGACTTGCATCAATTCTGCGCTGAAATCCACCACCTGTAGAAGCTCATGTTCATAACAGTAAGGCATCAAATCAACCCGACCGCAATTATAAGGCTTCGTCGGATACATAATCAGAAGCCTGATTGTGTGCTTCTGAATAACTGCGGCCGCTGTACTCCCGCAGCTTCTTCTTTCCTTCGCTGGCCATCCCACTACCCTTGAAAATCACTCCGATTTGATATTTCGTTTTCGAAGCAGCCATGGCCTCTTGTCCTTCATTGCTCGCCTCGTAGTATTAGAATCATCAGCCGGACAATCTCTCCAACCCCCTTTCGAGAAGTTGGGCCACGCGTCCTCATGCGCCAAAGTCAAAAAGTTTCCAACACAATGTGATGGTGGCTGCATCAACCGCCCAACCATGTTCTAGCTCCATGCAGGACATAGGAAGTTTTTTCTCCTACCACTGATCCAAAAATAGCTCTGCTGTGGTATCTTGTCGCTTTCGAATAACCATAAACAGACTTGCATAGATGTGGAGTAACGCCAGGCATCTTCATCGTGGTCTCAGATCATATCAATCGATGTCGATGAGGAAAGGACTTGATGTTGTGGGACGAATATCTTGCTGTATCGAAGCCTTCGATGAGGCTTTAGATTCTAATCATTAATTTCATATACTTCATATGCTGGTGTGTACGGACAATCAATTGACAGATAAACTCCCGTCTCCTCACCCCGACAAGACATAGAGAACTTCTACATCGTACTTTGTAGCATCTATGGATGTTGATCCCAGCAAGACTTGGCAATATGCCAAGGCGATAGAGCAAAGAGACGTCACACTGTCTGGTGTCATTTCCCCAATCGCGATACTCCACAAGAGGTATTTTTAAGCTATCAATGTTCGAAGTGTTCATCAGGCCATAGTGGATCCTCGGTGAAGTGCCGAGCCCAATCATGGTCCCCTCGTCTATGGAGTAGTAGACCTCAACTCTCATCACCAACTGCATTCATCACATCCAAGTCAAGGATGATAGTCTCCTATGTTTTCTAATTTAAGGAGCTCATTTGGCCCCCAAATGTCAAAGAGCAAATTTTCCAGCCCTCTCCACTCGGCTTCACGTTCTTGACGTTGACTTATACCAGGGTTGATGGGCCGAGTACTACGGCTTGTCCCCTTGGACCGAAGAAAACTACACAAGAGGTTAGTTTGACCTATTGTTAGAAAGTTTTCAGTAGCGTCAATATATCACTTGTCGTGATCTGCGGATGAGACTTGCAGTTATCACATCGGTAGTCATTGTTACGCCCAGCCATGACGAGTCCAGGTCCAGGTGGATGGTCGGAAGTGCATCTCGTTCGGATGAGCAGGGTTCCGGCCAGACTTCCATAGCTAGAGGTGGAAAAGATGAGCGTTTGCCAAACCAACCTAGCCAAGTCCTGTCTAGGTCCGTAACTGCGGCCTCTTTGCCTGTTATCCTAATCATGATTTCGTCTTTCCTTCCCGAAGAAAGGAGCAACCCGTCCAAGCACCCAACAATCAACGGCCAACGTTGGTCTTAGGCCAACCTATTCCATCACAGAAGTTGGCCAGGACTTCAGGGTCAGTTGGCGCTGCCGATGGAAAGCCCGTGGCTACCGTGGGTTCGAATCTTGGGCGCACAAGATAGGTTCTGGCGGGACAACACCGGAGCCTGCGTACCGAGGACGCAGGCATTCGAACATCGATGGAGAGCCACTTCAGCAACGACCTTCCCCCCTTCCTTTCCGCGTTTTCCTTACTTTCTTTTGTTCCTCTCCCTCTTAAGATCTTCTTTCCCTCTCTTTTTTTTTCTTTTTTTTTTTTTTTTTTTTTTTTTTTTTTTTGTTTCGGGGAGGCTCTCGTGTTGGACGTCTATCATCTCGTTGATGGGCCATCCCTAAGCCTCTCTCTCGTGTTGTGTGACGGGAATCACGATGGCCTAAGTCCTCGGAACCATGTACAGCGTGAATGCCACTCCCCATTAACACGATGGGGCCTGAGCAAACATCCTTTTATAAGCTTGACAGAGATGTTGCGGCTCTAGCCTAATGGATAAAGTGGTCTGCACCAGACTCTTCTCATCATCCTCAACTCGGACGGGCTCCCTCACCCTCCTAAACCCATTTCGCTGGGGCCTCTTGACCTCAAATAAAAGTACAGTTGACACTCCCATCACTCCTGCCGTACTTCGGTGGTCCGTTCCTTCCGTATCCGCAGAAGGACCGGAGCATAGCCGGATGAACGTAGAGACAATGTTTGCTTCGGCAGGTGCGACATTCGGATAGCCACAAACTTCTAGGCGACGGGTAGGAGCAGAGAGATGGGTTGTTATTTCCTCTTGCTATCAATTCGTTCGTGCCTTCCAGAAGATAAACTCACAACCGTCCCCCCCTCAAAAGAGGACTGAGGACCCCGACGAGACCCATCAACCATGGACCACGAACCTAGTCTTGATTCAGTTATCCCTCACCTTTCTTGATTTACGCTATCCTAGGTATTTTCCGGACAACTTACCAACTCTGGTGTCGGTTTCTCCTTCAACAGCAACAAGATGGCTCCCAAGATGGCTGTCGGTCTGTATTTCATCCTCTTTTACATCCTCTTCATCGAGGCCTGCTTCCCCCTGGACCAGGCAAACTGGTCTCTCCTCAATCTCAAACGCAAATGCGACAAAAAGACCTCGTCCTGCGACTACAGCTTCTTCATCAACGAAGAGACAAACAAGCTCTTTCCCTGTAGCTTCCACGTCGTCTCCATGCTGCCCCAGATTCCTGCCTCCAACCTAACTTTCGAGGGCGTCAAATGCACCGACACGGACAAGTACAACATCTCCCTTGACCATAACGAAGCAGGGCACCACAATTATTTGTCGGTCGTTAAACCAAAGGAAGGCCTTCTTTCCTACTTTGATTTCGAGGACGATGAGATCAAGGACGGCGCCGAAGCAAAGACGAAAACGTCAGAAGTTTACCCCCTCACTCCACCGGAGAAGGGAGGACAGCCTTGGACCCAGAACCGGCAGGGCAATGAAACGAACAAGGAGCTTGAGTATGCCAAGAAGTGGAAGGTCTTCTCTCCGATCCGAAGTACGTCGACTAATGTCTTCCGGGCTTTGGCTTTAACCGCCTTGAGTATGGAATTGGTGAAACTAGAGCTCTAATTTGACTACTTGGTTTGATAGGGATTCGAGACGATGTTGGAACGAACGTGCTTGACTTAGCCTTCCTGCTGCTCGCTGAAGAGCGTGGTGTTACGCCCTGCAACATTCATCTGACATTCCCCAAGGGAAAGGATGCCCGGAACGAGAGCTTCTTCCACGAAAAGTGCACCAACAGCGATTGGTATGTCTCATGGGGCTACGACGATGATAGAGATAGCGCCGTGATGACTGTTATCAAGTATGTCGTCACTCACATCCTGCCCGTTTCCCTCTGGTGTATATGCTAGTATTGTACCCTCTTCTTCTTAGTCCATAGCTAACACCAATTAACCCACAGTCCGGCAAGTGATCGCCATGCTTGGTTCGGATGGGACAAGGTCAACAAGAGAGCTGAGCTTTTCGGCAGTTGCGGCCCCAGCAAGACGGAGACCAGAAGGGAGGAATGATTATATGCGCCAGAGTTTCTGTGACAGCAGGATGGTGCCAGGTCTAGTAGATTTCAATTTCCGGGTTCATCTGGTAGATGTCGGTTTTCACAAAGGAGGAGTCAGGCTCGGCCATAGTGATCAGGGTGGAAGGTGTGGACGGGTTACTATTCTATGACTTTTAGATGCCGTAACTCGGTGAATCAATTTACTTGCAGATTATATGTAACACTTGTTGATGCCAGTGGGGATGTTTTGGGAGATATTCCACCGTCGTTCGATCGTCTCAGTGCTTACCTTACCATGACGATGAGAAGGAAATGGGCCTCAGGTTGGCATTAGCTCCCTGTACCGGGCAAAGCATAGTTCGGTGAGTTAAACGTACTCATCTAGATCTCTGGTAAAGTCTTCTCGGAACAGCTAGAAGCTGGGCTTTTTAGTTCCTCATTCACGATTTGCGTCCGGAATGAGCTGGATAGAGCACTTCCATGTCGTTAACTGGAGCTTCGGTGCCGAACAACTCGCATTGTGTAGATGCCATGGTAGGGGTAGTCTAGGCACCAACTGAGAGATCATCGAATCAATGGAATATGCCGGAGTGGTGGTGTATATATATACGTGTATTTTAGGAGAGATTCACTTCGTCGTCTTCATCACAGCCTTCAGTTTTGTGAGTAGGACATCAGATATATACATTCGATCCCAAGTCACTTTGAGACAGAACCTATTTCTAGAATGAGCCAATATCGGCCTGAGGCTTTCCTTAAGCGAAGAGTCGATTCCCACGTAATACACGAAGGAATATAAACCGGTAACGGGACTCTGCTTGTAAGAGCGAATGCTGTGCTTGCTCAGATTCCTTCCAAGTATCCGAATCCTTTACAAACTAAAGTCGAGAGCGCTAATCTCACGGTCTAAGTGATGGAAATAGCCCTGGCTCTCCTCTTTCCTTGTGACCGACGACACGAATGGCTTTTACTCTTCGATGGAAATCAAGGGGCAAAGAACCAAAAAAAAGAAAGCGAGTTGGAACAGACTCGAATTATTATATTACTCCTCATAACGGTCGCGGATGTTGCATGGGAATGTGTCGGAATTGGCTCTTCGGCCCTTTTCAAGGTAAGGATGTTTGCGTCGGTGTGTTATCTCGCTTACCAGGAGAGCACAGCCGCGAGGACGCAAACCACCAGCGTTTGCAATCGGTGGAATATTGTTCCTTGGAGCAAACACAAACAAAAATTCCCGCCTGAAGAGCGAAAGACCATAACAAGTGGCCCGAGCCGATTGGGCCAGGCCCTGCACGGTCAGTGTTGGTCCCCAGCACACATGGTCCTGCAGATTGATCGTCTGGCACGCCCAATGGCAGAGGTGCAACTTATCCGGAGGCAGTCGAGACAACGGGAAAAGTGAGGTCGCTGGAAGATGAAGAATCTGTGGGAAGTGATGAGGGTGTCCATCTGCGGGGGAAACTGCGTTGTGGCGGCTAATGGGAGGAATTCATTGGCTCGGTGTTTTGGCGATGCAATGTGTTTCTTGTCACTATTTCTGGGCGCATGAGGCACGGCAAGGATCAAGGGTTTCTTGGGTGGTCAAAGTGCTGGATGGGCCCACTTTCGTCGGTTTCTGCCAGGGGACCAAGACGCAACGACTGCATCTTCCTGTGAAGATGGAGTGATGAGTTGAGGAGGGGCTGCAAAGATGCAAGAACCTGCATGGAGCAACTTTCCCTTTGATCGTGAACGCTTTGCCAAACTTTTCCACCACTGTATCCTCATCATTTTTTTTTCTGTCTTTTATATAAAACCTTCGTACTTAATGTTGGAATGCTGCGGTCCCATCCGGCCCTCAAGTTGGCCACGACGATTATGCGAGTCGGCCCATCCATTGACCGCCGTCAGGATCTCTGCAAACACTTCTGCCGAGGGGTAGCCGCGCTTTTGTAGTGTAAGCGTTGTGCAAACGAAACCAACCAACGGCCATGAATTGGTTTTCTTTGCATCGTACGAGCAGAGATGTTTGGACATCCTCATCCCATTGTTCGAGGGGGCCAGACAGGCCTGGTCTCGTCTGACAACATCAAGCCAAACGACGAAACGTCTTCGTTTCCCCGCCACATGAGGTACCTCGTACCTTGGATAGTTGCAACACTGCTGGTACTTGTACATAGATTTGATTGCTTATCCTCTAGCTTCTTCTGAAAGAAGGAACCCGCAGCGTCAGACCCGAAGTCCCTGACTGGCGCGACATGTGTGAGACTCCGCGTGAAGCCGCTAACGATCACGCCAAGGTTCTTGGTTGAAGTACTTGTACACTGTGCCCTCTACCCTGAATGTTCCATGTTCTTATCCCCCCCCTCCGCCCCGCCTCAAATACAGCTGGATATTGCTGGATCTAAGCCATCGTTCGTTTGGCCCCCAAATATCTACATCTCCGCATGTACCCCTTCTATCAACCAACGCCAAGTTCAACCCACCTCTCACCATCCCCATCATCATATTGTGACAACTATCCACACCATTCACCTCCTGGATCTGCTCGACTTTCGCCGATACTAGCAGCGCTCTTTTGCGCTTTAGTGTCTGGACGCGAAAAAGGGACGGTTTTCTGGGCTGCCTCTGCGAACCCGTTGAGGGGAAGGTCGAACCCGGCGCCGACCAGTCAGGCGCAAAAAGCGAACAAGAAACGAGGCCGACGGCAAAGAAGGAGACGGGCATTGGTTCACGAGACCTCCCGCTGTTCAAGATGAGGATCGCGTGCCTTCAGTTTAACCCCCAAGTGGGCGACGTCAACAACAACTTGACGAGGGCCGATAGGGTCTTGAGTCGGGCGAATCCCGAGAATCTGGATCTAATCGTCTTGCCCGAGATGGCCTTTTCTGGTAAGCGCACGAATACCCCACTCTTTTGATGAGGCTGGCGACGGAGGTCCAAGGCTGTCCTTTTTGTCTCGATGAGTGGAATACCCTTCGATCGCATTGCGGGGGCGTGATTAACAGACATCGGCCATACTTGGCGCTCATTGAACTCCTCCACGTGCTCACGATTCTCAATGAACAGGCTACAACTTCAAGTCCCTCTCCGAGATTCACTCCTACCTCGAGCCCACCGGCGCCGGCATATCAGCGCTCTGGGCTCGCACCACCGCCCTGAAGCATAACTGCCACGTTGTCGTCGGGTACCCGGAAAAGGCTGACGTTACCCACAAGTGGCCCACATCTCCCGAGTACTTCAACTCCGCCATCATGATAGGTCCGGACGGCGACGATGTTGCCCATTTCAGGAAGACCCATCTGTACTACACCGACGAAACTTGGGCGCTTGAAGGGGATGGCTTCTTTGGGGATCATGTCACGGGGCTGGGTCAAACGGCGATGGGCATCTGCATGGATATAAAGTCAGTGTTTTCCATTCCTCCACTCCCGCTCGCGGAGTGTAATGTGAACGTTTTAGCGCGACCTTATTAACAAACCAATAGTCCCTACAAATTCCAGGAGCCATGGGACAAGTTCGAATTTGCATATCACGTCCTCGACTCCGACGCGAACCTTGTCATTGTGTCCATGGCATGGCTCACTGTAGAAAATGAGAGAGAGTTCGGCGCCCTCCCTCACGAGCCCGACATGAACACCCTGACATATTGGGCTATGCGCATGGAGCCCATTATCCGCGCCGAATCCAATGACGAAATCATCATCGTCTTCGCCAACCGATGTGGTTCAGAAGCTGATGCTTTGTACGCCGGCACCAGCGCCGTTATCGGCATCAAGGACGGCGAGGTGAACATTTACGGAATTCTCGGACGCGGCGACAAGAAGCTCCTTGTTGCTGATACAAACCAGCCCCCGATCGCCAAACTTGTTTTGACTCAACAAGGTGGTTCAATCCGGCCTCTTACGGTCGAGACAGACGGTGCCTCTGTGCATAGCACAACCGTCTCTACCAACCATAAGCGGGAGTACGAGGAAGTGGCCGGTCCTCGCCGCAGGCCCTCGGAAGACCTGACAGCCGATTGGGTAGCGACCCAAGTAGCGAAATCCATTGGAGCTATCGACCCCAAGGGAAAGGGAAAGGAGAAAGTACCCAGCTCAGCACATGAGACTACCATCGTCCCAGCAGAGGTAGCTTCTACCCTCCCTCGAGCCGCATCTTCGGGTGCCGGCTCAAATTTCACGTACGAGTCTTCCAGAATTGGGAAGATGGCTCCGCCGAAGCTCACAATCCCCGAAACACCCTCACGAACAACGTGGCACAAGACCGATTCTGCCAAAGTAACAACCCCCATCCATAGATCTTCTCGGACACCTATTCACAAACGCCCAAATGGCGATCTTACATCACGCGACGGCCACGAACGCCGATCGAAGCTCCCAGACTCGGCTATTGTCGTAAGCGCGGTCGAGCCGTCAAGCATAGCGAATGCCCTGTTCAGCCCACACGATTCGGCCCTCGGCCGCGCGACGCCTGAAGTCCTCGCCTCCCATGCCCATCGTAAGTCATCACGGCGATCATCCAAGCCAAAAGACGGAGATTCCCGTAACCATAGATCTTCATCAAGATTGCAAAGGGAAAAGGGACTTAAGCTGAAAACGGGGTCGACGCCGGCCGTACCCGAAGACGAGGGCGACGGAGGGCTGACGCAGGCGAAGCTCGACGCGCGGTTCAAGGATAGTCCCGTCTCGAGGCGGCCGAATTCTTCGATTCTGTCGTATTGGTTCGAGACGTTGCCGGAAAGTTTGCCGCTAGTGCCGAGCGGATCGCCGACGGAGCCGAGGGCGCCGTCTGTTTCTCTAGCGGAGTTTGAGAGGGGTAGGGCTACGCCGGCTGTTGCTCCGCCTACGCCTGCGGCAGTTCACGTTCCGGCGAGCGCTTCGAGTGTTTGTCACCATTGTGGGCAGAGCGTTCTGAGCGATAAGGGACGTTCTAGAGTAGATAGTAGTCAAACCCAGGGGAGTCCGGATGAGATGAAGGTTTCGACGTGGGGAGAGGTGAGAGAGGATGTTCATATGCAGGGGACGTCGGAGCGATCGCTGTCTACCGAGGGGAAGCCGGGCACGGCTACTGCAGAAGCGAATGAGGGTCTGATATTACTCGCACCTACCGTCTATCATGCTGAGGCGAAGGGTGCGGTGCATTCGGAGGATATCCCCATCAAGGTTGACATCGAAGGAGCTGTCACTGTGCATGAGGAGCCCAAGAAGGAGGATCCAGAAAGGCAAGAGGATCCAACAAAATTGGAAGAGCCAGCAAAACTGGAAGAGCCAGCAAAACTGGAACAGCCCGCAAAACCGGAGGAATCCGCGGCACAAGAGGTCCCCAACAAACAGGGGGGTATCCATGGCACCGGTGACAACAATAACCACGAGTCGCCGAAGCATTTTACCGTCAACATAGCGGATATCACGACTTCATTGGAGAAGCACGATAAAGCAAAAGTGAACGGTGAACGGGAAGAAGAGAGGGAGAGGGATCCTATGGCGCCGAGGATGAGGATCGTGCCGCCGTCTGTGAAGGGGATGGAAAAGCCTGCTGTGGTTATTGTGAGGCCGACGAGTGTTTATTGGTAATAGGGCGTTTCTTTTGGACTATGGAATTGGGTTTTTGGACAAGGGGTTAATGTAAAAGCGAGATGATGTATGTATGCATGTATGTATGGATATGATGTATTTAGGGATTCTACCTTAAAAGGGTGGATTGGTATGTTTACTGTGGTGTTTTCTACAATGATCATTTGGATGGTAGGAGTTGGACTCGCATTCTTTCTCTTCGTTTCCCTTTTCTAGACGTATCGTTTCTCAATGAAACACCGTCGAACAACCAATACGACAAAGTAGTTTTGCTTTCCCATTAAATCATAAATCACAAGCCTGGATGAAGGGGAAAAAAAAAAAACATCAAACGCGGATTTTTCTTATTCATAAAGAAAAATGGTCGTCGGGACGTCCAGCAGATCAGGATGAACTATCTAATACGAAAAGCCACATCTCAGCATCAGCTTTCCATGAGAGCACCGCCTCCTTACGAAGTATGCATCTCGCTTTTTGAATTGGACCTATAAGGCTTCCTCCTCTTCCTCAAAGCGGACAAGAAAGGAGGGATGGATGTGTGGCTGCTCTCTTCCTTCTCCCTTGCATCGTGACTCGTCTGGAACGAGTCCCCGTGTCTGGAAATAGTTACTGGTGGTGAAGATCAACATGCAGCAGAAGGTTGGAATGGTTCAACTGAGGCAGAGTCAGCCATGCGCCCACTTTGTTCGTCGTTTCGAAACATCCCTTGCTCACGGGGGTGTCGCCTCCATGCCAGGAACCCGAGATGCCGAGAGGTTGTGAAATTGACCGGAGGGATGTTCGGGATCGGGAAGTGGGTGGAGACTGGACAGGCGCCCGGAGAAGTAGTATTCAACTCATGCAGTGGCCAGCAAAGAGGGAACAAAAAGGGACCTTGGGGCTGGGCGCTTGGAAAGATGCGAGTGTGTGATTGAGGTGAGAGAGAAGGCTGCGAAGTGCTGCCACTGGGCTCTTCGATGCTTAGTTTTACTTCGGGACTATTTTCACTCTGTCGAGAGCCCATCACTAATATCACTAGACGCTACGAAGTTCGGATGGACGATGAACGGCGAGGCCATCTTGAGAGACCCGATCGCAATTTCCCTGCAGCGGTTACTTGCTTGCGACTTCCCGCTTTCTGGGGAACGTTTTGGGAAAGGGCCACGATGGATTTGCACAAGAGGAAGTCGAGATGTCCGAATGGGGAGTTTTGAGGAAGGAGATGATGGTGAAGGAGCAGAGCGCATTTGCGAGGAGGAAAGGTACTTCGCAGCTTGCCCGAGTGCGCATCAATAATGTATTACTTTGTATCTCACCATATTAAGTACTTATACGAACTACTTTTCTGTACAAAAGGGAACATTGAAATCCAAGTTAGATTGGTCCCTCGACTGCAAGTGGCGGGCGCTTACGTGCAGGCGGCTTTCCAGATCCGTGAGGAGGACGCGGACATAGAGAACAGCGAACAAAGGACAGATTGAGAAAGGAAAGAAACAAAGAAACAAAGAAACGAAAAAGCAAGACGGAATTCGTTCTCGATGCAAAAATCGAACGATTGATGTCATCGATGCCATGCCGATCCAACAGTCCCAACCATACAGGAACACTTTCTGTCCTTTTGTCTTTGGCCCCCAACACGAGTGGGCTGGAAACAATGGCCTCCAACGGCCGGCCTCCAAATGGCCCCCAATTCTCGCCCTCTTTCGTCTTTGGGAACAATAAGCTCGAGTCTTTCGGGAAGATCGAATCACTCAAGATGGACGAGACCCACTAGCAATGGAATAACTAAACAGCACGAGGTTAACCAGCAGCTCAATGCCCAATCGGAGCCGGACTCGACCATCGAAATTCGATGCTCAACCCGAGCTAGCAACTGGTCGAGGCCAACACCTTCAAGGTACGGCGCCATCTTCAAGGGATCATGGGCCCCCGGTCGACCGCTTTTTCGACCCCCAATAATGGCTTCATGGCTGGCGAAAGGCCTCAAATGGGGTCCGCAAGAGGTGGAGATGTGTGCCGACTTGCCTTGCAGAGGCGGGGGGGACCCAGCGCAGCTGCCAATATACTCAACTACGAAGGTATCGTGCCTGTCGCTATCGCCTGGTCCTTGCTCATCACCTCAACCACCCCGGTCCGTCTGCCAAAATGCAACCATGCATCGGCAACCCTCCCGCCCTCATTGGCCCGACCCCATGCCGCCCATCACCTCAAAGTGCTCGCCAGCCCTGACCACTCACAGACGAGCACCACTTCGAGTCCTCACGAACCGGACCCCCCCAGCTTTGGGGTCTCAGACCAACCACGGATCGGCAGGTATGCAAATCCCTGCACACACTCTCATTCGCACCCGTCCAACGACATCCTCGAAGGAGGACGGTCCGGGAAAATCACACCTCCCACACCTTAATACCCACACACACCTTTTCTCTTTGCTATCACGCACCGCCCGCTGTACCTTGTTGCTGCTCTGCCCGTGTCCCCAGCCGCGAACCAATCACCGTTCCGTGCGAGGTGACGGGATCTGCAGGTGCTGGGCGGGCTCTTTTTTTCCTTTGTTGCCTTCACCGTGGTTTCCCACCTCGTTTCTTTCTCGAGCACGTCTTGGCATTTCGCCGTTCTGGGCTTACGGGCGCGTACTGGGAGGTCCAGTCCAATGGGTGAATGGGCGCAAAGGCACCTGCATTTTGCACCTACATTGTAGTAGTGCATCCAAGTACTTCGTAGTGGTGACACGCGGGAGGAAGAATGCGAAGATATGCGGTAATACTCTAGTAAGACCGACAGAGAGGACATACTTTTTCGCTGTTGTGCTCACAGATGAAGTAATTTACACAATGTGTTGTACACTACACTCTTTCGAGAAACCGTTACCTTGAGCGCTCCTGTCGAAATCGAATGTTTCCTTCTGCGAGAGCGCTTCTTCGACGTTTCTTGCTCGTCTTATGTGTGTGATATCGTTTTTCTCCTCCCCCTCAATCCCCATCACCAAGTCCACTCCGGCGCGAAAAGAAGGGGACCCATCTCTTCCTCTACCCCATTCTCACGCATCTTGGCCCCCCTTACCCTTTCTCCCGTCCATACACGGAGTAAAATATCAAGATCAAGCCGGCCTTACCTCTGTGGCTTTCCGAGTCCACCCTGGCTCTCATTTCCCCCTCGACAACGCCATTCCCGAGGACAGGCCAAGAGAAGAGGACTCGAACCCCCTCCCGCCTCCCATTGCCGAATGTCCCGTTAAGTTGAAAGGCTGATATATATCTGCGACCTGACGCAAGCTCTTCAACGTTCCACAACACTTTCTGCAGGTTCGCTTCGTAGATTTCTTTTCCTTTCCTTTTCCTTGTTCCTCCGAACTCCCTTAGCCGGCACTCCGCTGTTGGTTGACGGGACCACCCCTGCCGATACCAACCTTCTTCTCCTCTCCGGTCTTCTCTCCGCTCCTCCTTCTCCTTCTTTTTTTTTCTTCCCCGTTTTCGATATCGCGGGTTTTGCAGAAAATAAAAAGGACCTGGGCATAGATACAGGAGCAGAGAGCTGGGCTCTTATTCCTGTATACTCTCGCCTTCCGGAAGACCTTCTCGAATCTCCGCACTTGGCTTGACCGCATTTGTGCAACCACTCTTACAAGGAGAATTTGGCCCCCCGAACTGGCAAACAGAAACGCCAATTTCGACCCGTCCCCGAGGCTCACCAGTAAAAAGGGAAACGCAGTGGAGGGATCGAAAAAGAAGAACACGGGATCACAACACAAAGAGATATCGCAATGAGGACATCAAGAGTCGTCGCCCTCGCGGCGCTCACCATCCAGACCTCCGTCGTCACCGCCATCCGCGTCGCCACGGGTTCCCCTTGCTCCGCGAAATGCGGCAACGTCCTCGACCAGACCTCGTCCGACAATATCGTATGCGACGAGGGCGCATATTCGAGCGGTGATGGCATGGTGTTTAAGAATTGCGTGACGTGCGAGGCGAGGAGTACGTACGTGACGGAGGGGACGAATGGGAAGGAGTCGGATTTGCAGTGGATGATTTGTGAGTTTCTTGCGCCGTTTTCTTATGGAGAAGAGAAGTGGTAAAGAAAGGGAGGAGAGAGAATGGATAGATTCTAACATGACGCAGACAACGTCCGGTATGCGACTGCAACTTGTCTCTACGGATGGCCGGACAAACACGCCGAAGCGAATCCGTGCCTTACCTCGTGAGTTGAACCCACGAAACTTACGCGAGACTTTTGCAGCCGCAGCGCTTGCTAACGAGATTGATAGAACCGCCTGCGAACCTCTTGAACAAGCCGTGACCTTCGAGAACCTCGCAGCCAACGCGTCGACTTACGACTACTGCGCTGCCTGGCAACCACAACAAATGCCCAAGTGTCTTTCCTGTCTATCCATTGGCGGCCAGCACCACTTCCTCCGAAACTGTAAGTCTCCAATTTATTCCCAAGAGAAGAATCTGATCTTTTCTAACACTTTCATAGTCCTCACCGTCCTCAGCGCCGCCTGCGAACAACAACCCCTCCCCGGAAAAGCAGTCGGCATCAAAGGCGAGATCTTCTCCACCGACATCGTCAACGCCACAAACCCAACCGCCATCCCCACCCTCTCCCCCGATTACTTCAAGGAAGGCTCCTTCGGCCTCGGCGCCAAAGTCGGCGTCGCCCTCGGCTCCCTAGCATTCCTGCTCGTCCTAGCTGGCTTCCTCGTCGTCTGCCTCGGGAAGCGAAAGCGTCGCGCTTACCTCCGGCAGATCGAATCGGCCGGGTCCGGGGGCGGTTTCTTCTCCCCCACGCCGGGCGGTAGTGCTGCTGCGAACGCTCATAAGAGCTGGGCGGGGCAGTTGGGCGGATCTTCAGGAGCTTCGGGGAGTGGAGCAGGGAATGCTGCGAGTGCTGCGGCTGCGAGGGGCCTTTTTGATGATACGCCCATGAGTCAGAAGCCTTTGAGGGGATGGGATGATTCCCCGTTGAGCGCTACGACGGAGAAGGGCTTCCCGAAGTACTTTTCGCCTTATTCGTCGCAGTTTAGCAGTCCTGTGAGTGCGAGCGAAAGCACGCCGCAAGTCCCCTGGCCTCCTGGCGGGTCTCTCTCGCCGCCGCCGCAGCACGGTCAAAGTCACGGACAGCAGACGCATACGATCGGGCTTGCGCTAGGCGGGGATGATAGTAGTCTTGAGATTCCGTCGCCTGCGAAGGGGAAGGAGAGGGCTACGGATGGGTTTGAGGAGGAGGATCTTTATGGCGGCGGGGCGTATGGTGGGAGGGTAGAGGCGCCGGTGTTGCAGCACCCTGGGTTTGGGAGGTCGAGTGAGAGTTTGCCGAGGAGGTATAGGTTGACGGCGGAGGACGCGAGGAGGGGGGATGCCATTTGAAGGTGGTTGAGTGTTGATGAGTGAGGTTTGCTTTGGTGTTTTCTCTTTCCTTTTTGCCTTTCGAGCACGGAGTTCTTTTCGGGATGGGTATGATACCGATGAATATTGGGGGGGATGGCACTCTCTTTAAGGCGGCGGCTGAGAATTATAAGATGGGATTGAGATGGGGATGGAGTCCCCGTAGTATATATTCGTTATCCACTTAATTTGACTTGAACATACTCATCATTCATAGAAGCTTCATCTTTTCAGGCTCTACCTTTTGTTTTACAAAAAGAGCTTACCAGAGGTAAACGCCGTATTAGCTAGAGAAACTGTTTCCATGTCTGAGAAAGAGGTAAATACTCTGCAAAACTAGCGCCATTAAATGAGCCAGTACCGACGCATTTTTTAATAGGAGATCTGTGCTATACCTACCTGGCCCGTTGTTTACGCACCCGGCCTACCGCAAGGCGGCATCTACGCCACCGGTTGTCCCGCTCTAATAGAGGAAGAAGCCTTCGAATTCTGGCGGTCAAAGTGCATCAACCGCGAGGACTTCGATCGCGGTGGTGGACGAGGGAGGGAGCCTATTCATCAGTTCCCCGACGTACCACCGTATGAAATGACACGATCCTTGGCCTTGTGCGGTTGATTTATTACTATTATTATTATTTTTCCCTATCATCGATTGGTCAAGCCGAGACCAATTCAAGAGCAGGTGGATCAGATCAACAGATGGTCTATTGCTTGGCCTTTACCAAGACCTCAACGGCGGAAGGCATCTTAGCGACTGAGGACGGGCACATCCAGCCATCATCAGGCCCGAATCTGGCAGCCAACTTCGAGCCTTGCTCTTCATGAACTGGGTATCAACACGACAGGACTAACCCCTGCTTCATACATCCGGAATCGAGTCCAATCCTCGGTGTGCTCCCTCCCGCCTCGTTGACCTCACGAAGGGGATACGTACTCCAAACCTCCCCTCCATTCCAATCCTCTCTGCTACTTGTGACCCACGGCTCGATTTTTGAAACAACATTTTGGCCGGGAGTGGCCATTTGGCTTGCCAGAAAACAAAGATACAGCATTAGCTACTACAAACTACACCCGACTACCTGCTGCTGGTAGGAACTTTCGAGCGTGGTACTTTTCCCATCCTACCTGAGCAGGCGTTCCCGGACCGAGGTACTGTCGTGGCGCAGGGCCGCTGCAGGGCACTGGCGGGCCGAGTGCGGCGCCGAGATGACCGCTGAAGGCCGGAGCCAGCATAGAATGGCGATTTCTGCAACAATTCGGGCAGCATGAGACTAGCCACGCGGGGACGAGAGAATGCTTGCAGAGCTGAGAAAGATCTTAACCCAGCCGAGGAATAACCTAATTACGAAGTACTTTACGACAGCTTGCCTGGAAGATTTGGTCTTATAAACTAAATAAATAAATAAAATGAAAAATAAAGGATAGTAAAACGAAGTTGCACAAAAGAAGAAGAAAAGGCGAGGGGGGGGGAAATGAAAGAGTGATAAAAACAACACATGCAACACCGGCATTCGCTGGTCGTCCCTCACTTTTCTGCGAGCCATGCTCGGTGTCTGCTCTATAAGAACATCATTCTTAATACAAATATTGGTGAGCGGGGACGATAGGCGGGAATGTAGCTTAGGGTGAGTTTGATAAATCGATTGCTGCATGTCAAGTACTCCCATATCCCGTCAGTCTCTCGGAATAGAGGGCGTAGATAGCAGCAACTGCTCATTGCTATAGCAGACGATTATATTGAGATGGAGCCAGGCAACACAACCAACGTCAGGTGACCTACCCACTCACTTCCCACGAGGGATCCTCCTCCTCTTATGTCTCAATGCTTTTGGTGTCCTTCGATGTGGGCTTCGTTCACGCCAGCACAATCCCACCATGAACTGCCTGGCCGTCCCTCTCTGCTGTCTTTTAATCCACCCCGGACACCCGGTGCTACTCGTGTTCAGACTTCTCGACTACGTTCATGTTACCTCCTAGCCTTCCATGATAGTTTCTCTCGAGACTGCCGATCGCGAGCCACCCCAAGCATCGAGGCAAGTCGCCCTGATGTGTCTCCGGATACGCGCCTTATATCTTCGAGAGCCGCGGGATCGGGACTCGGACGATATAAATTTCACGAGAATACTTTATCTAGGTCCTGCGTCCAAAGCTCCATGTTTCTCAAGCGAACACTCTCGAGGAATAGACGAGAAGAAACCCTGGCCAAGTTTAGTTCTGAAATAGTATTAGAGTAGGAGGCCCACGAGCCTTTCACTCCGGGTAGTCGAGCGGATGAACTACTGAGCGGGGTTCGAAGACCAATACTATGGCCAACCAACCTACATGACTCGTTGGGTCAAGTCTCGCTTCTCCCACTTGCTTCAGTACCCGACATGCATCTCAGAACTGCCTACAGTTTAGAGTGTCCTCTGGGAAAGCCGTGGCTGATCTCTTTGATGCCCAATTCTCAGTGGCATCGTTGCTAGTCTCGCCGGGAGCCTTCTGCGGGGATCCGAAGTGATGGGCCTCCCGCAGGGAGCGTAACCACAAATGCAGCAGGCTGCTCATGGGATATGTTAAATCCCAAGAGAATGATTCGCCACAACTCCTTCTCGGCTTGCAATTGCGACCTCTACATGGCCAATATCATTGATCTTACTGCTGGTGGAGCTGATGAGGGTGATCCGTCACATTAATCGATTCGTATTCAGTATTGATGCGTCTCGATGCCTCTGCGTCTCTGCGCTGGCTGTGGCATTTGTCTTTCTCCGCAACCCATCAAACCTAGCTGGCTATTCAGGCAGTCTGGCCTCCCACATTACAGGAATCCTATGGACGCTCCATGTTGACCTGATAGCCTGACCTGGACCTTTTATCGTTATCCCCGCCATTGCCGCACTCGCACTTATCTTAACTCAGCCATCCCAGCCTTTAAGCTTGCTTGGGAGTATATCGATGCTCCATCGTCCTTTTCATTTCGTTCACTTCGTTTCTACGCAGCCTTTCTTTTGTTAGTCAAACATCAAGTCATTTCAGTCCAAGTTCCAAGATTAGCAATTGCTCAACACGGCCTTTCCAACCCTTGACTGTTGGAAAGCTCCTACGTAGTGGCACTTTTTTTTCTTTTTTCTCCCCTCTCCCCAGCCTTGCCCGCGCCTACACCAATCGTCCAACATGCGTGCTCTGAAAACCCTTAACGAGGAGAATACACGACTTGCTCTCGGCCGTTCAGCCAGTCTCGGAAGGCTATACAACGCCAACTCGGACGACATCCTTGCCGTATCTATCTTGAGGACCAACCCGCCTCCTCCAGGGGCTGTCGAAAGTCATGAGCGACGTGACATACACTTCAAGATCTCCTCCACCTCCTCAATCGAGGAGAGATATTCCAGCCTCGATGTATCCGCAGAGTTGGGTGCGAGTATTCTCTGCGGGATGTTGAAGGGAGGTTGGAGGGTCAATTACCTCTCGCCCGAGAGGCAAGATTCTCGAGCCCAACAGGCGTCGGTCGTTTGTACCAATGTGGCGCACGATGAGTTTCTGAACCTGGGCAGTCGCGCTTTGGAGGGATATTTGAATCTCAACGCCCTCGAGACGGAGGGAGCGACTCATGTTATTTGTGGTATCCGCTGGGGTGCCGAGACTCTGATTACAGCCAAAACAGCCACAACCAAGGTGAATAGCATGAATCGGTTGGGGTCGGGTCTCGGAGTTGGGACAGATTACCAGCCGAATGGTGGGATGGAGGTTACAAAGCCCGGAAGCGATGTGAAGGAAGGACAGGCGTTGTTGAGGAGAATCATCAACGGAATCGGAGAAGCGCACGTCAGCGGACAGTTTCAGAAGGAGTCGGAGCTCACTGCAGTCGCCACCGAGCTCGAGTTCGAAGTGTTCGCCGACGTTTCTGATCCCACGGGTGGTCTTCCCACGGATTATGATGCAGTTCTGGCCCTTCTTCAAAAGGTTCCTGCCTCGATCAGGGCGATGGAGGGCGGAAAAGGCATTCCCATTACCCTCACGCTCAGATCCATCAGGGATATTGCCAGGGAATTCAATCACCAATTGGTATTGTCTCCGGTTGTTCATCATCTCGATGCGGAGCGTATTAGAGACTGCATCAACCTCATGGAGGAGCTAACCAGCATCTCGAGAGAATTCCGTGACTATGAGACTTTTCTGGGAGACCACCAGTACTGCGTTCCCAGGCGTCATCTCAAAGAAGCCAAGAGCAAGGCAGCATTGACAAAGCGAAGAGAGGTGAAATTCAGGAACGGTTTCCGCGAGATTGTCGGCGGTATTCGATCAGGGTCCGAAGATGATGTGTACCGCCTCAGTGAGCACTTTGACGATTTCTTCGATTCCAAACATCCGAAGGAGTATCCGGAATTCCTTGATAAGTTCAAAGATAAGATACAGCTGGCCATCATGCTCAAGGGCATGGGAGTTGCGTACACAGACAGGGACCCTGATGCTTTCCAACTTGCTAGCATCCTTAAGAGCGGCGGTGACTTGTTCGTTCTCCATTACAATGAGGAGACACGCCAGTCCCCGGATTTCAAAAACATTCTGCCGATAGTTTTACAGCTCCTGGAGGAGAAGGACTATGATGTGATGGTGATAGACTATGATGCTGGCGAATCCCGCCCTCTGACCAAGGCTAGACTGGAGCGCCGTCGAGGGGACGAGGTTCTGATCGAAGATGTCGTTGAGGATCAAAAATCCTTTGGAGACCGGTGCGCTATAAGATGCAAAGGCGCAGAGAACATTGACCGCTCGCCGAGCCAAAGTCGTCCTCTCAGTGCACGCATCGTCAAGGTTTATTGTCCGGGCCCATACTGCCGCGACAGGGCGTTGTCCCCATGGGCGTGCCTGGAGTGCAAGGAGGACTTCTTCTACGGACCCGGAGAAAATGATGGCCATCTCTATTGCCGGTGCGGGCGGTTTCATTATTCGCATGCCGTTTTCAAGTGCCCGCGTCTCGCGCATGGTCCCCGATTTGCCAC